TATTTGCGTAATAAAATAAGAATTGAGTGGGGCTAGTAACTACCCAAGCTTTTTGAGCTTCTAACTGCGCTTACCCGGGGTCTGACATACTTGTCCCGAGACTAGGTCCATTATGCATTAGTGCTTGGACGTTCTGAACGTTGAATGACAGTTTCAACTCTATGTAGCACCTTAGATTGTAACCAGTTACCGATTACTGATGGTATGGAGCCTCCTCCACTATTAACGCGGGAGACGAAAACCAGGGACACTGATGCGGACATTGCGGAGATTAATCCTGAGGAAGCATCTAACACGTGATCTTGACCAAATATAAAAATTCAAATTCAAATTCAAATTCAAATTCAAACTAAACAGAACAATGCTTGAATCAATGTAAGTATAACTGCCGTTTCATGTATAGATATCCAGCTGCCACCTTAGACCGTGACCGGTTACAGATTACCGATAGTACGGAACCGACAAAGTCCTCCACTAACGCAGGAGGAGTCGGAGATCAAGGACTTATCTTACTGAGTACTGATCAGTAGCGGCGGAGTGCTTTGCAAGTCTCTTTGTAAGCTCATCTGAACTGCCAGTACGGGTAAACTGACCATCGGTTAGTCTCTTGCCCCATGTTAAACGATGGTGAAAAATTCACCATGTCTCCCGAATGCGCTACAGGCTGAACGAGTGGTGAAGATAACATTTCGACCCCTGTATGTAGTTAGATGACTGAACACACAAAAAGAAAATGGAGATGAGGGACCTGGGACTGGGGTTGGGGTTGGGACTGGTTTTCGTAAGGGAGAAGTGACTCGGGATGAAGCAGGCGATGCCGAGCGGTCTGAGCCGTTGGCGTCGTTACCGTTCCCAGCCTCAGTGCTACTGATGACTGTTTCTTGTTTTTCTTGATGAAAAGTCCCGGAGTTGTCGTAAGAGGAGAACCTTCGGAAGAAGGCAGGGTTGACGGTGCTGGCAATATAGGTGTTACCGTAGGTGTTGGTGGTGTTGGTGAACTGGTAGACGAGCTTCCGCCTCCCCAAAGTTTGCGAACATCATTTGTTTGTAGTATAATTGGCAGATTGGCCTGCCCGCAGAGAGCAGTGCGCAACTAGCCAGCAAGCCTTGGGAAATCCGGTGTTCGTTCATTAGGTATTGTTCCGGGGGAAGGGGCTTGAAGTTTCTCTGGGTGTATATCCAATATTCGAATTTTGCACACCTCTTGAACACACTACGGTCTTCAACAGCGGGTATTCAGCCAGATTACTACTTATACTGAAACCTACCCTGAAAAGTCTTTGGTATGCAGCCTGGTTGCGCCGAGTCACGAGATGTTGGAAACGGATCTAGTTTCTCAATGTATTCGAAAGCAATTTTCTTGTTCATCGTATAAACTAAGTCTACTCAGAATTCATCATTGCTCGGATCTGTCCTTCTCTTGCTGTGCTCACGCTTTCAAAAGAGCAGTGAAATGGTTCAGGCTGACTTCGACGGAGTTAGCCCGCAGGTTATTGGATGCATACTAGGTCACTTACATCCCCACGCCGGTGGTGAAATTTGGCTTCACCTCAATCCTGTCTCCGTTTGAGTCTTTGGCATGATCGATGCGCAAGACAGCGAGTATGGCAGCAATTGCAGTCCACATAGTGTACTCTGCAAACCAACGACCTACCAAGGGCATTTGTTATTCTCAGCACTGCCAGATCATTGATCAGCCTACCAGGACAAATACGTCTGCAAGAGTCAGCGAATGATTTAAAATGATAGCAAGTGTGGAATATTCACCTGCCGTGACCGAAGGCAAAATGGTTGACGACTAGGGCTCTTCAGCTTCCCGTCAACAGTTAGATGGCGACTAGGATCGAAGCGCGATGCATCGGGGAATATGTCTTCATCCCGAGACAGTGCCCTGAGCAATGTTCAGCTCAAACCATTGCATGCACTCTACCCTGACATACCACTGATTGACCATTACTGTTGTACCTGATCGAACTACAGATGAGTCAACGGCAACCTTGACTCATACCAATTCGAACCTTTGGGTATAAAATACCCCTCGTACACATCATCATCTAAAGTTGCATGCGCAAATCCTATGCAAGAGGTAAGTCATGCAAACACAAAGCTATATTACTGCCGACAAACCTAGGGGGGCGACAGGATACCATCTCATGACCTCGCAGAGAATGGCATCAATATAGGGCAGGGACGCCCTGTCATCAAGGCACGGCATTTCATTATGCCTCACAGTCTGATCAATTTCTGCACGAGCCCGGGCTTGGACGTCAGGATATAGCACCATAGCCAGCAGGAATATATGCAATACGGATGCAGTCTGCAGGACATCAAAGTAAGAATCAGGACTGCTTAAGTGGCGACTCACAGTTTCCATGCCAGCTAAGATGCCGAACTCCCGTCAATAGATGAATTATGTCCTGGTAAATAAAGACTCTTACCTACGTATCCTGACAACGCAATAGCCTTCATTGTATCTTCGTCAGCATCATCGTGAGGTTGGCTGAGAAAGTCACTGATTAATGAGTGTGAAGCAGTGCCATTTGCCTTCACGCAAACAGATCAGGCGAGATTTTCATCCACAACTGTGCGCAAACGTACCATCTGTGCCTTCACTTCGTCAAAGGGCTCATTCAAAAGCTGTTGAGATAATTCTCTATTGCGTCCCATCTGGGAATGTGCTCCACCGAAGCACCAAAACGGTAACTTTTCGACTGCAACCTCATGCTAAACATTCAAAATGATGTCGACGACAGAGGCACTCACGGAAAGGAAAGGCTGTGAACATGGCAGCCTTCTCGGGGGTAACAATCTGTTTTGTAATATCAATGAGTTCTTGCGCGCGGGTAAGATATGAGCCGTGAGCAAGGTCTCCGTATGTCACGGCTACCATTACGCTGCCCGCGTATCTGTAACAAGGATTGATCGTCAACTGGACCATACGTCACAACGACACCAGTAGATTAGATACGAACGCTTCAGTGCGGTGCTGTAGGTCATCAGTGGCACCTAGTAAAAGATCGATGACTAGTCTATTTGCATGGCGAGAGTATATCTCCTGGTATAACACCGAGACTTCGGCCTTGAGGACTTGATGGAAGATCTTACGATGTCGTCGTAAAGTCTCACCATACGGAAGCATTGGAGTAGCGAAAGCCAGTCCAGCTCTGCATCATCAGTGGATGAAAAACAAATTAAATGAAAACAGGCAATGCATACAATTCGTTGGTGCGAATAACGGGGCGAGCAGAGTAATTCGCAGAACGTTTTTCCAGCAACTCTTTCGCGATGGTTTCGGAGTTTATGATGATCAAGTCGATCCCAAGTATGCAGCAGTAAATGATTTTTCCTGTGATCATCGATCAGGTATGAAATTGAATACAACAACCATTGGTTTGCTACCAACCATATGTCTTTCCCCACGTAGTATATGTGAGCCAAGGTCGTTTAGTGTCCAATTGTAGCACGTTGCCCAAAAATGGTATCGGACAAGGGCCAGGTGGCAGAGGTAAAGGGTAGACACGTCTGCGAATGAGACCCGAAGCGACACCCAGGGCAATAACGCAAGATATCCCTAGAGCGAGAATAGCAGTGGAGAGCATGATAAAGGATTATAGTCACACCCAAGACATGTTGGTTCGTCTTCATATAAGGTCGGCAGCTTGCTTCTTTGGGTGCTGCCCGCCTCATCTTGAACAATGGACCATCAGCAGAAGTGGCGCAGCCAGCTGGCAAGCCCTTTCTAGACATGGCAAGATACCACCAGTCTGACGAACTTCACCAAGACTTAATACGGCTTGCAGACAACCTCTCCGTCGTGCCAGATGGGCACCAGGCTGGGCAAAAGCCATCAGAATCGTGTATTTTGAAAAGTCTTGAGGCACCTTGCAATGTTGATCCAGCCTTGCCAGTTCCAAGCAGGCTGTTCATAGTTTACATGACTCGTACCAGACAGATAGCTGCAATGCAATAAATGGAATCCAGCTAATAGTTGAGCCGTAAATTATATAAGCTGGGACCATTTGCCGGTTCAGCTTTTCATAGCTCGGGCCGCAGCTAAAACCGGCAATAAGCCGGAGCCGCGGCAACATTACCAGGTCGCCTACGCTCCGATGACGATGGTAAATTTGGCTATCGCGCTGTTGTGCCAAATAGCGTACCCAACTCCTGGAGACGTAAGTCGATGTTTCATGCCTACATGATTCTCACACTGAATGTCGTCTCTAATCACCCGCCCTCACATCTTCACCCCTCCTCGCATCTTCACCGACCTCACACGTTTACCTGCCCTCGTATCTTCACCCCTCCTCTCATTCTCACCCTCACCCGCCCTCGCATCTTCACCCGCCCCCGTATCTTCAAGCCTTCCTGTCATTCCTGTATCCCGTCCTCAAAGTACACGAAGATACCCATTTGTGCATGGTCGCCGTCGGCATCATCGAGGATATCTCACGTGCACCAGATGGATGGATGTGGATATGGGGGAATTGATGAGGAAGAAGAAGGGACTAATGAAGAAGGAGGTGAGCCTGGTCTTGAGGAGGCCAATGATGAGGTGGGACCGGAGGATGGTGAAGATGATGCTGTAGATGAGTATGAGGGGTACGCAGAGCTCTAGCAACTGATTGTCTTGTACGACACTGAATTTCAGTGATTTCCTGAATTGTTGCAAGTACTAGGATGGGTAAGCAGCGCTGACTTGGTAGCGAGAGTTGATAAATATGATTTTAGACTCGACCTTGCGGCAGCGACGAATGTAAACCAACAGTAGTCTTTTAATTATCATACAAGTCGCTACCGGTCTTTGCTACCTCCATCATACAAGTAACCACCAGTCTTCCCGCATCCATGCAAATCTCCGTGACACTGGCTTGAGATTACAAGAAATTCACCTGCAGTCTGCTGCACTCATACAAGATCACTGCAAGACCATATAATGATAAACAGACGTGCGTGCTGATATAAGCTTCACAAGACCATATATGATCATATATGCTAGTAACGCTACGTGTTGTTTTGTTGATGAGTATCGACGGAACGCGCCATTTGTCGACGCTCATATACGCCAGCTGTTCAGATTCCATCGATTTCCGTCATACCCCATGCGAGGGCATCTGTCCAATTCTTACTGGGCCTCAGGCCTCAGGCTCGAGCTCCGGCGCCCTATCTCAGGCTATCTGCAACTGGAACTGACAAAGAACATTCTCCACGATTGCAATAGTTGGAGGTGACGTCGAAGACTTATCAATTTACTGATCGGCGGCGGTGGAATGCAGGTAAGGCCAAATTTCTGTCCTCACATTGTATAAAAGGGACGGTATGTGACATGCCATCTATTCTCAGCCCCCCCTACAACTCATAAGCTCTGTTACTGATCATCAGAAATAAGAGGTCATGGATTCTCGCACAAAGACGATTTACCTCCCGAATACCATGACCAACTGGCCATGGCCTCGCGCACTCAACCCTCATTACGAAGCTGTGAAAATCGAAGCTGGTTTTTGGTTTCGTAGTTTCGAAACTTTGGATCCAGAGTTATTGAAAGCGTTCGACAAATATGATTTAGGTTGGAACTATTCACGATGTCACCTCTGAAGATAGTTGACGCGTATCGTTTTATAGCTTACGCGGTAGCACTGGCTCATCCCACTGTATCAGGAGGTTAGTATCCAACCCCTGGCGCACACTACTGAGCCTTGACTTTATTCTTGCCGAGTAGAACATCTTCGAGTCGGTTGCGAAGTACTGGATGTGCAACTCGTTGTAGACGAGGTCACCGATAGAAGCACTGCAGCAGGTGCCAAAGGAATAATAGACATCGTCATCGATGCCTTGCACAATCCTCATAAGATACGACCAGAAGGTGAATACATCGTTGGAGAAATGATGCGACAGTAAGTACCTTCTGCCAGTGCTTGTTTGAACATGATTCTGAATTTTGTGTAGATGTTCGGCTCGTGCGATGCGGACTATAAGCACGACTTGTTACCCCCGCTTTATTGATAGCTTTACGACATACCTTCGTGCAGTAGCTGTCGAGGCTATTGACCGCGAACAAGGACATTGTCTCGGTATCGATGACCATTTCAAGTACCGACGGGAGTCAGGTGGCATGTTACCTTGGTTCGCACTATGTGGAATGGAGATGAATCTCCCTGATGAAGTGTATCGCCATCCCGCCATCGTGGATATGCTTGAATGTGCTGCAGATTTGATTACAGTCGACAATGTAAAGTCGTACTAAAGACCTGGTTTCGAGTATGCTGACGATTTTAATAGGATATGGTCTCGTACAATAAAGAACAAGCAGACGGGACCGACTATAATTCGTTGATAACCGTTGTCATGGTAGAGTTTGGCCTCGACATAGGCAGTGCGATGGGGTGGGCAGCCGCCTATCACACCAAACTCGAGACAAGGTTTATCAACGGTCTTGCGAAGATCCCTTCATGGGGCCCTTCCACCGACATCCTAGTCAAGGAGTACCTTGATGGAGTAGGGAACTGGGTGCGAGCAAATTATTGCTGGAGTTTTGACGATCAAAGGTCCTAAGAATTTCCCAATGATATATTGAATTGTCATTTACGATGAATTATTTTGCAGGTATTTTGGCACAATGGCTACGGAGATACAGGAAAGTAGGCTCGTCCCATTATGGCCAAAGGTCCACAGCAAAGCCAGCATCCTGGGTGGGTGGCGAAGAACCATACTGATTGCCGCTGCGATCAGTAGCGGGTTTTTTGTATTTGTTTCAATCCATTTCCCCTAGATCATCTGTTAGCTGCCATTCGTCTACATGTTCCTATGTTGTCTCACGATATTGCCTCTCCGAATCCTCTCGTTTGTTATGTCCTTCCGAACGGGCCTGCAGGACTGAGCATGCACCATTGCAGTTACCAGTAGCATTATTTGAACCGAAGTGCCACGTCAAACTCTGAGCCGTTCGAGTCACGTCAATGCTTCAAGGATTTTGTTTGGATTAGAGGCTCTCGCCAAACAAACTACAACCGAGTCATTGACACATGCACAGCTTCCCTACCATGACAGTGGATATGACCCGAAGTTGTGCTGCGCCTTAAGCTTTGTGATTAGTACTAAGTGCAACAAAGCTGGTGAGCGGTGTAAAATCGATTTTGGCCTATCAATATTAAAATCGACGTGGTTCTAGTCTATCACCTCCCACACCTTGTGTCTGCTGCCACCCTTGTGCATGATCGATATTTCCCGCCCACTCATGCGAGTCTCCGAGTCTTCGATGCTCCTGCCTGTCTCGACATTGATTATAATTTGAATTAGTTCATACTTGAAATTTTGAAATTCAATCTATTTGTAGATCTCTTCGTACGTAGTGTGGCTCAAGAAGACAAAATTCGAGTATTCGATATCACAAGACCGTACCATATCATCACACACCGCCGGACCGCGTGCTATTTCACTACCATCGAATCTCCACCAGGACTCGGCCAGCCACCAAAGCCCCAGAGTGACCGTTTCCCGGACGTCCTCAATCATTATCATTTAGTGACTCACCGTTGCTAAGAGCTGTTAAGACGGACAGCGTTGAAGCCTCAACGAGCTTGGGAACGGGAACCATCATCGGGCCCCGAGTCCAGGCTGACACGCGCAAGCATCGCCGAAGATCACAGACAACCTTATGCTCGGAGGTCCGAAATATCTATCGGTGCAACACCAAGGACTGCAATACGAGTGACACAGCCTGCCTGCGAGTGGAATAAGGGCTGTTGGAAATACTGACTTGTGTAGATCGTGGTGATGGATCGCGCGGACGCCGGAATAAGGGATTAGATGCTCTGATGGGCCTATATCATATAACTGTACTCTTGCGCTCCTTCGGAAGTGGTTGTTCTGTGCCGGTTGAAGGAATACTTGGGAAGACCTCGAGAAGAATGCGGAGATGAAAGATTAAAACAACATCACTTTGCTGCTCCGGATGTCCTTGTTTTGTTGTCCATCATATAGCATCGGTCCGAGTTACTGCCTTGAACTGCGCAGTACATAATTTTGCTCGCTCATATAAAATTATTCGGTGAAAACCCTACAGGAGTGAATGTATACGATGCACGTACATCCATCGTAGATGCTATCTACCAAAATGGATTTCGTGTGGATTTAATTTAAGGCAAGGCCAAGACCAAGTCTTTCAATTTTTCGAAGTTGGGTGTGCCGTGTCCAGTGACTACAGGTATGATCAGCATGTAGACACGTCATAACTCTGTTTGCCTTCATGAACTCACCAGGATCCCATCCAACCGTGGCCTGCATACAGGTATCACATCAGCAATGTGACCTGAAGGCGTGCAGACATGACCTACATTGAAGCCCGGAGTTCCACATCCTGGGTTGCTCCCTTGGGTGATATCATTTAATGCAGTGTAGCCAGTGGAATATAACATTGGATTCAAAAAGCCGAGAGGAGTCTTTCCAGCATTGATGCGTACGTCGTTCAGCATGGATACAAATGCGGCAAAGGCGGGCGAAGCACAGGATGTACCACCGATTGGACTCTCCTGACCTTGATAAATAATAGAGAAGTATTCTGCTTGTGCTACCACGTCTAGATATGCCTAGAAAAATGGTTTTCATAAGATTTACGCAAGTTGAGGAGTCAACATACACGTCCGGTCCTAGAGATGATGAGTCAATTGTGCGTTGTGCGTTCGCCAGTTTGTAGTGACTTACGAATTATAGAGACCTTTGAACGTGCCGGGAGCGAGCATCGCTAAGTATTCAGAGACAGCAGCCTCCCGGTACGCAGGACGAGCAAACTTATACATTGTAATGCATGGGTCAGAAGGTTTTCATGTGGGGCAGAGATTACTTACATAGTCGCTGAATCCACCCCCAGAAAAAGACACGGCAGTCTCTGGGATGTTGACGGTACCACCAACAGCAGTCACGCTTTGGTCCAAATTGGTCACTGTACCCCTTGATCATATGCCTCACTATGGGCAGGAACAGGGGAATGTTGGCAGGAATTCTGTGACATTGCGCCCATCGTTGGATTTACATGACTGAGTGGCAAGGTCGGTATCGCCATCACCAACACCACTATCACTAGAGGCAAACAACAAAGAAACACCGCGAGCACCGAGAGACGACGCCATACCAGCGCAAACACGGATCGCATAGGTGTACGGGACAGTTTGTTCATGATCACCGTAACTGGTAGAGATTGTCTGAGGATCCATGGAAAGGTTTCGGAGGTGTCATTTGCTGTTGAGTTTCGAGGCGCGAAGTTCGGGCGCGGGGAGGATGTTCCAGATGGGTTGGAGAATGTCGATGATGTCCGCTGCTTCGCCTGTGTATTCGACTGGAGGTTCGGAAGGTGTTGACGAGGCATCGATGAGTTCCTGTGGTTGGGATGAGCACTTTTCATACTGTGAAATAATAGAATGTTACCTTGACTCGTGACTCAAGGGATTGGACTTCAAGTTGTGCGTTGTCCCTTTCCAGGCGAACGGCGTCCAGATCCTTTGAGAGAGTTTCGTTCCATATGCACTCGCAGCTCATCTCCGAGGCGTGCATGCTTATCACTATGCCCCTGCAGCGCAGCTGCTAACGTTTCAAGATGCGACGCGACCGAGGCAAGTAGACCCTGCAAGGACGTATCGGGGGAAATCTGGATACCATGCAGTGGCATGACCGTCCGAAGTGCCTCGGTAGCTTCATCCAACTCTGCTCGTGCTTCACCACCAGCCCTCGCATTATCCAGCTCATCCTGTAACGCACCACGCTCTGTGAATTTGTTATCCTCCAACACAGTTCTCTCCGCCTCCCATTCCTCTCTTGCATCCTCGAGCTCATCCTGGAGGGCACCAAGCTCTGCAAGTTTATCTTCCTCCATCACAGCTTTCTCCGCCTCCCATTCCTCTTTGGCATCCTCCCGCTCTGTCTTCAGCGCCGCGACCTCCTCATCCTTTTTCTGCAGTTCCGCATCGCACTTTGCCTGCATGTCTGAGAGTGCGCGTTCCATTTCAGTTGCTTCGCCGCTCTGCTCCTCTAAGACCTTCAACCGCCTCTCCAACCTCTCCACCTCCTTTTCCCTTGCAGTCAACTGAGTCCTGTCCTTTTCCCACTGCGCACGTTCCTCGAGTAATTCTTGACATTTCGCATTCAGCTCCTCGAGATGCGAAAACTCTTGCTCTAGCGCAGCGACAGTTTCCTCAGCAGTCTGAAGCTGCATACCCATCTTCGTCTCAATCTGTTCCTTCTCGAGACAGAGGTGAGATGATTCGCGTGCCATCTCAGCTTGTTTCTGGTTCGCAATGCTGAGGGCTTCAGTTGCAGCGCGGAGCTCGTCTTCGAGCGCGACGACATCATTGACGGATGGTGGAGCTTTGGGTATTTGTGCATCGGCGTGGCCTGCGAATAGGTGTGCACCGTCGAATCGCGCTTTCAGTGGTGGAGAGGTAGTCGTAACGGGGCTAAAGGCCGAACTCCTATTGGGCGTGTTCAAACCCGATGCATCCCCACTGGGCGTCATCTTTCTCTCCATCTTGGCGACGGAGAAACCAAGCACGCCTGTACGATGTTCCAAAAGTTTTCGTTCGACCTCGTTTGCTCGTTCTGAAATGCACCATAGTTCAGTCTATGCAGCATTGACTCTGCGTTCTGCAGCATCTAGCTGGTCGTTTGTGGCTTGTGACACTTTTTTGTGCGCAGTGTTTACTTTTGAAAGAGATAGAGCTGCATCGCGTATCTTTGTTTCTAACTTGAGCTTCCTCTGTGCTGCAGCGAGCCGAATCTTAAGAATTTGGTGTTCCTAAAGAAACAGTTTGTTTAAATTAAATACAAAGGCGCAGATCGAGTGAATGAATGGAAATCGAACCTTTTTGAATTCTTCGACTTCTTCCCCCCTAAGATCTCACATTCGCGACTTTCTACGATTGCTTCGCTTGTGAGAAGACTCATGAGGAGGTCGTCTCTTATATTGAGTAATCCTGAGGTGCGTTTCCATCCTGAAGCGGTAGACGTTCTTGGTTGTAGGGGGGTAAAATTCTTGGAGATGAGGGATCTGGGACTGGGGTTGGGGTTGGGACTGGTTTTCGTAAGGGAGAAGTGACTCGGGATGAAGCAGGCGATGCCGAGCGGTCTGAGCCGTTGGCGTCGTTACCGTTCCCAGTGTCAGTAACGGATGCTACCGATGACTGTTTCTTGTTTTTCTTGATGAAAAGTCCCGGAGTTGTCGTAAGAGGAGAACCTTCGGAAGAAGGCAGGGCTGACGGTGCTGGCGATATAAGTGTTACAGGTGTTGGTGGTGTTGGTGAACTGGTGGACGAGCTCCCGCCTCCCAAAAGTTTTCGGACGCCATTCATTTGTAGTATAATTGGCAGATTGGCCTGCCTGCAGAGAGCAGTGCGCAACTAGCCAGCAAGCCTTGGGAAATCCGGTGTTCGTTCATTAGGTATTGTTCCGGGGCGGTTGTTTATAATTGTTGAATTCAGAAGATTAGGACAAACCTTGACAAACAACCCATCGCATGCGACACGACATCAGTGAACCTATGAACATATTAAAATGTCATAGTTGACTATGTATTGACAGCAATCACAAGAATCCTCGAAAATGTGGCGGGGGGGGGGGTTACATGACCTTATGTGGGAACGATGAATTTTCCAGGTAGGCTACGAAGCTGTCCTATGTTCTGCATACCATCTTCTGCTTGGATTATCCTGCCAACACATAGTGAAACTCAAGCGAACAAAGCAAAATGCTAGTTCGTAATGGTGAGGGTAGATGTAGAAATTTGCCAACTGGCACTGGTGCAAAGTCCTTTCGTCATGTGGCAATCTGCAATTTGATATGTCCAGTGCGAGAGCTGCAACTCCTCAGACTAGTTGTGAATTGCTGCTGTTAATATTTGCTTGCATAATATCAAATGTGAACTTCACATTTGACAACTTGTTCGTTCAGTGAAACTCAGGGCACAAGACACCTGCATTGCACAAAATTACCCATACTGACTAACATGTCTATCATAAGCTTCGCATGGAGTCCTGTGACTACTTCACATCGCATCCATCGTTAAAGTATTTTGTCAATCATGCTCTACCGGCGCTGATTGGAAGAGTGAACTCAACTTACGACACCGGAGTTCAAGATAGTCTCCTTTGTGACGTCCGATATTCATAGTCATGGGTTTCAATGAATATTTGTAAGCCGCTGGTCTAGACTCCTTGTCGACCTAGATATTTCCAGACTGCCGTATTGAACATAATTCTATGTTTCAATGCTCATGAGGGACTCAAACCAAACAAGTCCAATATTTTATTCAACTGCGAGACAACAGTCAGGAAGGACTCAGAAACTAGATATGGTATTGTTGAACTATCAATGTTTTGGGGAAAGGAACCTCTTTTAGGTTCGTTCGACAGAAGACTAACTCCAGGACCCTAATGAGAGGGAAAAGGGCAAGAATGAGCGATGTTTCCCCCAAGTAGAGGGAGCAGAGGCGCACACAAAGGGCCAAAGAATCAGACGTCAAGTCAAGGCATTTCAACCATAGAACCAAGTTCTAAGGGCAAACATAAGAAATGTCAAAGAATACCTAAAGGCAACACACCTGAGGCTACAGGCAAATCTGTCCTCGAGTTAACCCTAGGTGGTCTGCAGGTCTTTTCAACCACACTGCAACGTCTCATTCCATGACATCTGGGCCAAGGGAAAAGCCACCCCCAGAGACGTTCTATGATGGACAAGCGACAGACTGAGAAAGGCAGCTGGATAGTGGTGGGAGGGGTGGGCCAGACACTGTGAACTTCAACCCCAAACTCCACTGTGGAGGAGCCCCAGCCAACAATGTGGGAAAGATTCCCAACAAAGACAGGTTGATGAAGATGGGGTTCAATCCCCAAGGAGGCATCCCAAGCCTGACGATAGACAGCAATGGTATCACCAGCACCCAGAAAGGGGATGCCAGAGTTACCAGTGTCAAAATGACAATCGAACATCCAGGAATCGTGGTCAGATAGGGGTCGAGATCCATCAATAAATAAAGATGCAGCAACAGAAATGACAGATGAGGAGACTAGAGGGAGGGAGGGAGTGAAACCGTGCTCAAGAGAGAGGTCTGGGGTATTAGGACGGTCGACAGATAGAATATGCATGTGAAGGAGAGGAAAGGGAGACTGGAGCTATGCAAGACCCTGCAACGCTTGTTAAATACTCCAATGTCATCAACTGGGTCCCTAAATGAGGAGCCGAACAGGTGACAATCGCGCCCACAAATTAATGGGACAAAGATCCATAAGGTCAAATTAAGGCTAATGGATCTGCCTAGCCCAAGCATGAGGCCAGGGAGAGAAAAGGGTCTGACAACCAATTGATGTTAATGACAATGAAAATCATGTGTCCTAACTGACCCAATACCAAGGAGCATGAAATACTCTGGAGCAGGAAGCCTGCCCACTGGTATCCAAGAACATCTTGATGATAAACAAACACAGAGGGATGGGAGGGAGGGAATTTAAAAGAGCAGATCGATGTTCAAAGGTAATGACTCTAGGAGATGATCGATGTGCTGATACACGCGCCAGGCTGTTGGTAGCGAGAAAGAGGAGAACGAAGCTGTCCTTACTCGGCTCATACATAGACTTTGTTCTATGCGCGTGTTCGTTCCTCACTCTTACATAAAACCTGATCTATGTTTCAATGCTCGTGAGGGACTCAAACCAAACAAGTCCAATATTTTATTCAACTGCGAGACAACAGTCAGGAAGGACTCAGAAACTAGATATGGTATCATTGAACTATCAATGTTTTGGGGAAAGGAACCTCTTTTAGGTTCGTTCGACAGAAGACTAACTCCAGGACCCTAATGAGAGGGAAAAGGGCAAGAATGAGCGATGTTTCCCCAGAAAGGTAGGAGCTTGACGACGCAAATAGCGCAAGCTTGCCCCAAGTGATAGGAGGGAAGTGAAGACTCACAACAAAATTTTTAACGCACAGGAGGCAATGCATAACGTGTGAAAGGTTCGAGTATTGGCGTGTCTTGAAGGTATGGTGCCATGATGACAGCGTGTTGTCTTAAATACCTTAAGAAAGCATCACCACCCCATCTACCCATAGACTTCACCGTTTCGAAGGGAACTCCCCGCAACAAGTACTCCAGTGTGCCTCCAATGCGGATACCATGGCCTTTCAAAGGCTCGATCTGAAGAGAGCATGAGGCGCGGTCCAGACCATGCAGAAACTCAGAGCGAGTGAGTGGACGAAGACCAGTGCGATGCTTCCAGCTAAAAAGAGGAGCTGATGCGGGCGCGGAGTTTACTGCAAGATGATTCGACAATGCATAAGCCGGGTCTGCATCACCAGATTGTGGTGCGAAGTACAGGTCTTCCCCAGTTGGGGACATCTTGGTGCAAGGTAAGTGTAAGATGGTGACACGTAAGCCGTGACGGTCCTCTCCATAACGAATGTCTGAGCGTTTGACATGCAAGGAGGGATCAAAGGCAGACAAAGAGCGGAGAGTTACCTCTCCCACGCGTGCGAGAGAGAAAAAGGATACAGTGAGGCATCCAAAGATTGCGGCGTCGAGAGGAGCTGACAGATCTAGTACTGAGTGTATAGCAAGCAAAGTACTGATGGTGAAGGGGTGACACTTTACATGTTTTGATGTAGCTGGTGCTAAACACGCAGCACCTGCTAATGCCGAGGAGATTTGCGCTGAGTCTGGTAACCAGTCGAGTCCATGTAACAGGTGCCAGGCTCGGACACCATAAAAGTAATTCTCTAGGGTTTTTCCGGAGTACAATCCAGCGCAGCTAGCAATGAAGCTCAGCAGTAAAATGGAGGAGGCAGGGCCACGTTGGTCTTCGGGAATAAGCCGGGCATCGCAAAACACATGAAATACTAGTAATCCAGCACCGTAGGTCTCACGAGTGCCGGAGGCAAGCGAGTACCCAATAACTGTGAGGATGCGATTGAGATCAACATCTGTCAAAGCAATATACGTCCCACTATGACCAAGAGGTTTACGGCGAGTTGAAGGCAGCCAGAGGCGAAGACGGTCTTGAGCTAAACAGTGAGGACGAAGGTTTGAAGGTAAAGGATTGAGGGAAACTGCGTAAGGTCTGGGACTGGCGGTGGGCAGTGACTCTGGCGCTAACGTGGCCATGTTTACAAAGCGTGACTCGTTAATCACTCCAACTCTCTCGGAACCATAAGAGTTCCTCTCCATAATCCCAGTGCTCTGGCCTGTCAGCCACTGAGAAAGTACTTGAGTGCCGTTGAGAGTGGGAACAGGAGGAGGAAGACAGGGTGTCAAATTCATCGTGCACGAAGTCTTGAAGGGCGGAGGGGAGAATAATGGGGGGAAGAAGCATGGTGGTGGGAGGGAATACTCCACGCGAGGGACCATCTGCTGGGTTGGACACACTGGGGACATAAGAGAGGTGGAAGGAGGTGTGAGGACCAAGAGGTTCGAGCATAGAGAGAATGCGTCGAAAGACGCAGTTGGTTGCCCAGTTTCGGCTTCTTCCATTCTTCCAGCCCTCAACGACTCCGAGGTTGTCGCAGTGTAAGCGGAAATGTCCACCAGCCGAGGGAATGCCAAGGCGGATGATGCAGAGTATGAGTAGTTCGAAACCAACTGCTTCGGCCCAGCCGATGTCTTTGGCTCCGTTGAGAGATTGCCAATCTCGGCGCAAGCTCCAAGCGCGCCAAAACCCCTTGATAACAACTCCAATTCCGACACCGGAGCTTGCATCAGAGAATGCATGGATGTCGATGATTGAGAATGGCTGAGGGATGATCCGGTGGAGGGAAGGGCAGGACAATTGCTCTGTCCACCATGCAAGGTCCTCGTTGAGATGCTGGACAGAGTGATATGGCACGAATGGACGTGAACTGGCAATGCTGAGCATGGATTCCAAGGACGTGAGATAGGCACGGCCCTGGGGAAGAACGAGGCAGGCATGTAACAGTTTGCCATAGAGCTGCTGTGTTTCGAGAAGGACATGAGTGGGACATTTGAGCCACCGAGCGATGGCCGCCAAGTACTTTTCTCTTTTGGCATCAGCCAATGCAATGATGAGACGTGTGAGGTTCCACAGAAGTCCAATGAATAAAACGGTATAAGCGAACTGAGTATCCTTTGTAATCTCCCAAGGAATGCCCAAATTGATGGAAGACTCGTCAATATCAGCGAAAGAACTACTGAAAGGTTGGTCTTCAGGAGTGCGATTAGAAACTGTGGAGAAGTCTCGTAGCGGGAAACGATGATCCTCACTGAATACCTCGCATGTTCCATCCTCAAAGGTATCACCCTCAAACCAAATTCGACCCCCCGTTTGACGCATGCCACCAGTAGACAGGTGCTGGCGTACAGAATCGCGATAGCTGTTATAAGCACGAAGATGTTCACACCTAATCCTGAAGAATAAGTGGTCATCGACCCACTTCGTGAGAGGACCGAGTCCCAATGCGCAAAATAAGTCTGCACCAGCATCAGCAACGTAACCGTAGGCTCCTGCTGAGGGCCCCATACCAAACGAAGTACAGGTGTCCACATAAAACGAGTCAAGGTCGGACCGCACAACAGTAGCCGGCCATTGGGCAGACAGAAGAGGGATAGTTCTGTAAGCTTCTGCAACATCTCTGGTTGCAGCCTGCGAACCAGGGGGAAGGTGGCGTATAATGGAACAGACCGTGTCAAAAGTGCCCCAGGTGCAAGGGAAGTTGTCGGATATAACCATGGAGTTGATCGAGGGCTGCGGAGCATGTGGAGAGGGAGAATGCGGAAAAGAGAAGTTTTGAATGACCCGAAATCTACCGGGTTTACCAGACTTAGGAATGATCGAGACTGGTGACGTTTGAAAGGGTCCCACCAGAGACTGTAAGTCAGAACGTGTGAATGGGCCGATGTACCGACCAGCAAGAAGTTCTCAATCGATGATGTCATCAAGTGCCTTGCTATGTTCCATGAGAGAGGGACTGTTGAGGGGAATTTGAGAAACGAGAATGTGAGGGAGATCCAGGTCAAAACCAAAGCGAAAGCCGTTTGTAATCTTGTGGTAACGCTCCCGAAGACCATGTTCCTCAAGCAAAGCTTCCCAAGCCAACACATTATAAGGACACACTGGATGAGAGCGTCTGTGCTCGAGGGCAGTTTTGAGCTCCATGGGAGAGCGAGAGACACCCGGAGCATAGGTGTCGTTCGTCGTGCAAGCGAGATGGGCAACTTCGACCTCGTTGCCAATCGACACAAAGCGGCTTGTTGCTGCTTCGGACGAGCAACTGGCGAAGGACCCGTTTGCTGACGGTAGAATAGGAATTGTCCCACAGGCGGTCTGCGGGACATTCGGCGAAAGGATGATTGTTGCGCCTGAGACAAACGGCGCACACGGCGGGAGAGCGTTGGCCGTGTGCGCCGTTGGAAAAACCCGCAGATGAACGCGGTGTTTTGTCCTGCCTAGCGCTTTTGTTACGCGAGGAGGGGGAAGGAGAGCGCTCACGCTCAGCCACTGATGAGCGCTGATTGACAGAAGGTATGGAAGCGTGAGGTCTCTTTTTGGAGGTGCGATAGTCCTCTCCTGATGACCTGGGGTTCAGACTGTGCAACCTCTAGAGACCAAACATAATCGCAAATGCAAAACGCAGATCGCATACCGCAAAATGAAAATGCAACGCAACGCAAGTAACCAAATATAAGTCATAGATAGTATCATGACAACAAGTGTGGATAACAAGTGGAAATGAAGCAAACAACATTAATATCGATTTGAAATTTTAAAATGAAGGAACGAACCTTGAACTCGAAGTCTAAGTCAGCACGCTCTCGTTCAGCGTGATAGAGACGATCGAAGGTCCGTGACAATTCAACTTCGTCAATCAGAGCGATGTTCCATGCTCCAGCAGGCAATGGAATAGCTTGATGCCACGCCCGACGTTGTTCCTCCTGATAGGCAAGGAGAGCATGCCGCTCAAGAGCATTGTCAGACGTCCAATAGGTGTGTGACATGAGTGCACCGAAGAAGTTAGCCAACATAAGAACGCGTGAGCTGTCCCAGCCGCGTTGTTGTAAAGAGGCAATGAAGCGAGGGATGGCATGAGAGAAGTCGAGCGGAGCGAGGAGATGATCAGCGATCACACCAGAGGCAGGACACGCAGCGTTGGCAGCAATCCAGGTGGTGGAGCCATCTGTGGCAGTTGTCGGTACTAAACTATCGTCATCAGTAGTGTGGAAATTCAGCCGCGCATCTGCGAGCCCTTTGTTGGTCCAGTAGTAAAGCTCAATGAATTGTACTTTGTCCAATTTACGTAGAGCGAAGTCAGACACAAGTATAGCTTCGGAAGCCCGTGTGGGACAAGGGCGGTCAGGGATGGGAATATGGTGTAGACGGTTTTTCTTCTTGTCCTCTTCAGCAAGCAGGTCGGCTTGAAGCTTTTCAGCGGCCACATGCTGGGTGGATGCTTCGTCGATGATACGTTGCTCCTCCGCGGCCGCTAGAGCATCAGCTGCAAGTTGCCCCTGCCAGCGGATCCTTAAAGTTGAATTAGTGGCGGTCCAGATGGTGGTCAAGATGGCCGCAGCTTGCTCGTCGGTGGTCGAAGGACCGAGCAAAGGCGCGCAACTGCTCTGAAGATCGGTGGAGGTGAAATCCGGACACTGTTCAAGATGCGGATCAGCCGAAAGTCGAGTCATAGTAAGATGTAAAAGAAAATTTAAAAGAGCAGATCGATGTTCAAAGGTAATGACTCTAGGAGATGATCGATGTGCTGATACACGCGCCAGGCTGTTGGTAGCGAGAAAGAGGAGAACGAAGCTGTCCTTACTCGGCTCATACATAGACTTTGTTCTATGCATGTGTTCATTCCTCACTCTTACATAAAACCTGAATTGTGATGCTGCCCAATCTTCTGCTCAACGATACGAAAGTTAAAAATTCTTGATCAAAACCCTAGTCCGCAAACTCATACACAACAAATGCATTTGGTAGGCGGGGAACTGTCGTAGGTGTTGGCACGTCAAAATACAGATCAACCAAAAGCACAAACGCGAAAAAAAACCCCGATTTGAATATATATATATATTGTGCTCTGTCTAAGCAAGGACCGAGCATCTCACTGGAATGAGAGATACAGCAGATGCTAAAGCCAAACTGCAAGACTGTCAGGAAAAAAACACATCAGCCAATGGCACAAACGCGAAAAAAAACTGATTTGAATATATATATATATTGTGCTCCGTTTGAGCAAGGACTGAGCATCTCACTGGAATGAGGGATGCGGCAGATGCTAAAGCCAAACAGCAAGACTGTCAGGTTGGTGCCAGTTCTAAACAAGACAGGAAAAGTCTTCTGACGGGAAGCATGGTGAAAATCAACTGGAAGACACATGGTTCTGGAATCGTTTGTGTAGAGAAAGATGAGTTACTCTTGGGAAAGACAACAAATGGTGACAACAACTATTTCTCCATCCCGCTTGCAGGCTGGATACAACAAATCTGGCATGGAAGAATGATTTGCCCCTTGGATACCGAAGAGCAAGGTGACGGGTTTGCGAGGAGATGATGGGGTATGTTTAGTATTTCATTTAGCGACTAATTAGTCTGGCTTCAAACGACCTGACGTCTTGGAGGAGTTACAGCATACGTGCAATGAAACATTTGTTGTCACAGTCATAGACACATTTGATCACATAGACGGTATCCCCATAACTTGACCGGATTGGAAGGAAGGATAGTATTGGCAGTAGACAGCATACTGAGCAGTATTGAAACTACTTGGTATTGTGAATCAAAATCATTCATGCCTCAAATAATGTTCCATCCCTGTAGCAGTACGTACGACAATATGATTGCATGAAAGAAAGCTATTGTAAATGGTATATAATATATGACAATGAGACTGGATCCAGTTAATCAGAATCGAAAGCGGCATCCTCCAGCGCCTTTCTCTGTTCTGCTAGTGCCGTAACGGACATCTGGGATACGACCTCTGGTGTCAGATCCTCGTGATGGTTTTTACCGAAAATCTTTCTAGAGAGTGGCATTAGATAATTGATAAAAACCAGAAAAGAGAGTCAATACCTGGTCCACCATTCCAGGAGATGGTTCACCCGCTGTTGTGTGATGGGGCCAGGGACGTTCTCGAAAAAGTCTACGACATTGCTCCAGAATACTTCATAGTCAAAGTCGCTGTCAACGGTGTGCCAGGATGAGATGTTGGATAGTGCGAAACGAACCTGTCACAGGCTGTCAGATACACATTGTATAGACGCGGATGTACATAATAGCATTTACTCACTTGGCAGACAACATACGCCAGGGAGCGAGGAGTGACTTTCCTCATGTTGATGATGGTGGCCACACAAGTTTTAACCTTGACCTGGTTTAATTGTTGCCGGGCACGCCTGTTATTTTCAAGTATGTCAGCTCTGTCGCCGTCTCTATCAGCTTCTCTTGCGGAGGATGGAGATGTAAATACAGCCTTGAAAGCCTAACACAATAACGATGAACATAGTCATCATGAAATAAGACCGGAGGCAACTGACCTGAACAAGAATCTTTGACTTGAAGAGGCCCTGCTCCAAGTTGTCAAGCTTGACTGTGTAATTCTCGTACAAGAATAACGGCCAAGAATTTTCTGACACGATATAATCCGACGTTCTGTCGCGGATGCCAGCCTTCACACTGTGCAACCATAAGGGTTATATAATGGTTGACAAAGGCCGACACTCACCGGTTATCATCCCAATCCCACTCAGAAGGACACAGTAACTTCCCGCAAACATCGTGGACGAAGCCACGGGCATGCTTGTCATCAGACTTGAGTAGAGAGGGTGGATGAAAGTCTTGATTGATCCAAGTAGCAACAAGGTCCTTGAGAGTGGAGGTGTCGTCACCGCGCGCAGCATCTGCTCCTCTCTTAAGCTATGACACCATCAGTATGTTGAAGAAGCAGTTGGAAATTAAGAGCTTAGACCTGTTTCAGCATGTCTTGAGAGTCATCCACGTCGAGTTGCGCAAGCCTTTCATGCAGCCATGGCAGGACCTGCACGAGTATGATATAACCACGCTGCAAGCGATCTTGTCTGATTTATACTATTAGACTTAGTATAGAACAAAAAGGTAATGACATACTCTGGGGTGGCGCCCTCCGAGCCCTCCTCGTACCTCCGATCATTTTCAGCAATCAGGTCCTCCACATTGGTGTAAAGGACGCCCATGTGGCGAATCGCCCTGCCCTGAGAAACGTAGAAGGTCGTCTTCCTGCAAGGTTCGATGAGCAAACAAGATGACCAGAGTGCAAGACAACAAACCTCTGCTTCCCTCTTCTTTCTTGCTTCATGTTTTCCAATTCGTCTTCCAACGCAGCAATGCGACACTTAGCCCTCGCCTCTGCGGAGGTAGGGACTACCCCAGAGATGTCTGGAAGCACGAGGGTGTATGACCTGTTATGATGGTCAGCCTCTGGCGTAGACATAGTAGAAGTGAGAGAATTAAGGTGAGGTGTAGCACAATAAGAAAAATAAAGAGCATGAGTGACAAATAGAGAGAATGGGGGAGATGGATGAAGAGAAGATGCAAGCGAGAAAACTCACCTGCACCATTAAATACCGCTAAATGCTAAGATATATAGGGCAATGCTGAATGAGGACGCGCAAACTGCAATGATTTCGATATTAGTAAGCAGTCTCGCACCTGGGAAAAAAAAATGGCACCATAATGTACTAGTACTAGTACTAGGTCGAGTCTCAGGCTGTAGATGAGTCTATAGATGCATGCTCGTCCTATGCTGAATAAATTGCGAAAGATCTCGTTGATGCCGCATAAGCTGCCTGAGATCAATCGTTGAGATGTTGGCGGTGCACGCGAAAAGAGAGAGCAGAAACCTACTACTAGTAGTACACATTAAGCATCAGAGACGAACAAGATATTTGATAAACGAAATACGTACTCTCGACAATGCTGACAATTCCACACAATTTGCTGCCCATGGACAAACTTGGAGATGAGCGGGTGGGCTCGAAATCACAATCAGTTACGAAGAGTACGTGCGCATTGGCTGACCACTGAAGTCATCAGCCTATGCCATTCTGCGAGACAGAGGAAAATGAATGCACTCACAAGCACGTTCTGAATCGCATATGAGTGTGCTAGTGAGGAGGACGACATACGTGACTGTGTGGCACATGCATCAGTTAAACTAACCCCGATACCAAAACAAATAGCCACGAACCACACAAGGAGGTGGAATCACAAATAAAGGCGAGGCAAGATACGAACCAGAATACCGGTCTGCTCCATCTGTGCTTTTATCTGGCTCCTTAATCTGTGTGACAAACTGGTGCGAAGGCGCGAGGAGAGCGCGGTCTGAGACTGCACCAAGGTAGGTAGTCCTTGTTCTTGTCGTCTCCGGAGCAATACTATACTCTGCGGGAGCTGTGGGTAGGGTGGCTTCTAAAAGAACATAACAGAATGCAATGCATGGAGATAGGTGTTAGCAGAAGAAAAAAATAGGCGGACACTATTATGCTACCTAGGGAGTCTTGGTTCCTTCTTGCCTTCACAAATGTATGTCATATGCTCCTCCAGAGATGCATCTTGCTCTGGATTGTGGTCTGTAAAGTTCCACCTTCCCAATAGGTTTCTTGAGGTGGTGGAAAGCATTCCAAGCAGCTTCGTTGTCAGCTTAATCGAAATTTAGTCTTTCAAGTCTTTGGGACTATGGTGAACACGAACTTTGTTTGATACCTTCGCCTGCACTGTGGAGCATATTAGACATGGGAGTCATGTGCTTGACTTGAGTAACATTGCAATCACCACACTCTTGCTCCAATTCTAGGTCCCATTCTTGTTCATGATTAGGCTCGATTTCTTCTTGGGGCGTAGGCTCATAATCAATCATGGCATCAACATCCACACCAACATGCTCTCGCATCAACTGCATTCGCAAGGTGTGTGCAAACCACCCGACCTTGAAGGGTTTTCTTGTCATCGTGCTGATGCACCACAGCTATCAGAATATTAGCAGACAAGACCGAGAAAGTCGTACCCGTCAATTAGGTCAGTGTCTCGGATGACTGCAGCAATTTCAGAATCTTGATCGCCACATTGAGAATGCTCATTGATGTTTGCACTGCCAAGAATTGCCAGACGATCATCCACAATACAAACCTGATGAGATCGGTGGGTCTGAGTATTCAGTTTTAAGGATTGAATCGGTATTTATACCTTGCCATGAATATATAACTATAGCGTGGTCAGGGGATTCGAAAGCACAGCAGCATAGGCACTTACTATCTCAGTAGTCAATACACCATTCCGCATTTTAGCCCAGTTTCTCAGTGAAAAAACAGAGATATATTCCTCAGGCTAATGATACAAGGATAAGCACAGTGGTTCCAATCGTAAAATCAACTACGTACCTCCATACCCTCTTTGCGAAGTTGAGTAAATATTGAATTGGGCCCACAGCAGATAGTGCGGTTCTGACACTCAACAATGATTCAAATCTGGTATGTTTGTTCAGTAATATTTCAGAAAATGTATTTCTTAACTAACTGTGCTAGCGTCGCTGTGACCAATGGAAAAGGGGAAGCCAGGGAGGAGGGGAATGACCATGCAACATTTCCACGGAGTGCCCTCACGATGTGCACGGATGATCCAATCGACCAACGCATCACCAATCCGGTTCTCAACCTTGAAATCATTCACGACGGTCCTGCGAGACAAATCAGCAAGCAGTGGTAGCAGAGGAGTGAGTACTCACGAGGTTATGAAGAATTGGTTCTCAATGTACACGAAGTGTTCCGACACTGCACACCGTTCCTGTTAGGTGTTGTTTGCTAAAGGTGCATGTGTGAAGGTTACACGTGATTTGACGCACGTCAATGCGTCAACATATCAGTAAAACAAAGTCATTGTGAAATCATGGACGCGGTTACAAGTATAGTAATGAGATTTTATGGGCTAAATGTTCGGACTCATACGACATGCAAAGAAATTGTATTGTAGCATGAGTGGCAGCTAGTAGCTTGCGATGAACGACGTAACAATGTGTGAGCAAAAATCCCCTTCAACAACACCCGGCTTCCTCCCTAAGCAACACTAAGCCTTCACACGCTTACTACAGTGTTTGCATGTACACCTCAACCCCGCAAGGTCATGAGCAAGGCTGTCTTGAGAAGAGATAGTGGCCGATACTTGCGAGTCCGAGGAGCTGCACTCCGACTCAGTAGGCACGTAGGACTCGTCGTCGTGCGAGCATTTGACGCCTCTGAAGACTTCATCATGCCAGAGATCATAACGCTGATGTGCAGTGAGATCGGCTGCTTTCATCACGTTCTTGGCACCACGACGCCACACAAGGGGCAGCCCGACTACTGCGTTTTCTAAGTCGGAGCAATCAACTTCATCGCTCAGCTGCAGCGAGAAGGAGACCAAGCAATCTCTGATTTTGCGTATGCCTCTCTCGAGCATGGCCGTCACAGTGTCCATGTTCAAGGTGGGGGCCAAAGTCTGCAAGATTGTTATATAGATCCAAAACACGACCATCGATGTGACTTACCCCGTGAGCCATGAATTGAGGATCATGATTACGAATGTTGATCCGATCTTGATGATCGCCTTTCACCCACACGAAGTACTCAACAGACTGGATGTGGCACCAGTCATGCTCACCAACCCTAATAGGTGTGTCGAAAGATTGTGGCATTGTGCATTGGCTAATGAATTGGTCCAGAGAGAGAGGTTGAGGGTCATCTTCCCCATTACGTAACTCCCTCGATGCAATTGAGTCGGGATTAGGATAGGCGTAATGTATGCCTTTGCGCACGAGTACTATGACTGCTAAGACCGCATCTGGGTGTGCTTCGATTTCATCTTCCACCCTGTTGAACACGTTAACCCTGTGCTGCAAGAATGCACATTCCCCGACAGCGGGAACTAGGACCACCGATGGTGCATCATCAACCGCGGTAATGGTGATGGTCATATCCGGGTTTACTATCTTACCACCGCCAATCTTCAACGGATAATTCATACTAATCGTCGGTTCAACTAGCTCAGGATCATACGGAAGTTGAGCTATGGCCAGTGTGAGGTGATGCTTGAGATAATTGAAAGAAGCTTCGTGTAGAAAACTAAGCATGTCGATGGACAATATGTGCTTGTCATAGTCGTAAGCAAGCCTGTATGAGTTTAGCAATCCTCGAAATAGACAGATTTGTTAACTCACCTCGGCTTTGTTAAAATTTGGCCCGCTTCTCCTACCTCGTGTTGTATTGACCTGAATTCTGCCGGTCTCACGCCATGAAATTCCTGTTAGTAAGCACATCAGTCGTATTCACTGACTCAGAAGACTTCCAAGTTACCTTGTGGCCTTTATCAGGAGTCAGTTCACCCACATAGTCCAATATCCTCTTCACATCTTCAACACAATAAGAATTCTATCCGATAAATGCTTTATTTCTCGGAACTTACTTGAGGTAAGAACTTTGGAATGCAGAGACCTCTTGGGAACATCGCCACACAACACATCTGTCGCTATGGTAGGGACGCTCTCTACTGGTTTGCTCTGCTCTATCTCCTCTGCACGCGAGGGTGTTTTAGCGGATGCTGCTTTTTCGGCTCTGTTTGGTAGAGGGAGAGTTGAGGCATGTAATTTCTTGTGTTTGGGCTTGTGATCTGATTCTGTGAGTGCTGGTGTTGTCAATGGACTTGTAGATATCAATCTGGCCTCATAGCACTTGTATGTTTTGGGCACCAAAGTGGTGTAGAAGGAACGGTGGTCCACTTGAGTTACTACTGTAGACATGGCTGTTGGATGTCAAGTGTTGTTGAGTGCTGAGCAATGCCTTTGTGTGAAACATAAGATCAAACGTGGAAGCTCCAAAGATAACTTGAGATTACAAATGATAATGATCAAATCGGGTAGTGGGAATAACAAATGCCATCATCCTGCTGTAGTACTGACTTACTAGCCTAGCTAGTCATCTCTCCCTCCTCAACCCCTTTCCAACGGAGTATATAGAGTATAATACCCCCGGCCATACACTCGATTATGTATAGCACCTGGTCTGTACCACATGTTTGCTACCCTTCTATTTCGCTTCTGACACTACTTAATTCGCTAGAGTATTGCAAGTTAGATTCATAATTATCAGTATTAACTCCACATCCTATAAGTACTATTACATGTTATCTGAGGTCTGAGCCTTTCAGATAGTGAAATCGTAGCATAGATCACCTCATGCTACGCGATGGTACCACCCACACAATAACCGCTTCTCAGCGGCAACTTTCATCTTGCCAACATCATGTCATATCGCCTTCAGCCACATTCCGATGTGAACAGCACCAATCATTCATTTCTGTAGGTCATGGGTAAGTCATGGTGTACATCCCTGACAGCCCGGCCTTAACCACATTCAACATCCGCCGGTTCCTCCTGTCGCCTTATCTTCTGCTGCATTTCCAAAATAAATACAATCCATGATCAGCACAGCTCACCACGATGTAGAAGCAAGGTTTTACTATCTCCAACAAAATATATCAGCCATTTATTATTAACACCAGGGCCAGTAGCCAGCAGTAGCCTTCCAGCTACACTACATAGCTAGTGAGGGAGAGGGATTTGGAGTTTAAGCTATAGAACCAGAACTCTACCTCAAAATCAAAAAAGGTCCATTCGCACTCGCAGGTTTCTTCTGATGACTCTCCAAATGTCCACGTCGTATCTGAGCAGCACGGAGATCTATCATAGTCACGACTTCCAGTTCGTGCAGTGTTCGATGGCTCTGGAGATTTGTACTTGTTCGGATGCTGCGCGTGAACAGTTGGCTTCAATTTAGGATAGCTGTCACAGTGCTGTGTTAGGTGAGATATGATAGGAATGATTGGACTAAGGTTTACCTCTTTTTCATATTTTTGGCCTAGCAGGCGTTTTTTGAGAATTTCCCGACGCGTGAAGGGGCAGGAGGAAAGGTGCTGTGGGAGGTTTGGGCATTTCACCTTGGGGGTCTTCTGGTATTGGGTGTTTGAAGGGCGAAGAGAGAGACACTGCATTTTGATAGCGTGCTAAGCTGAGTGAGACCGTGACGGTCACGGTAGATCAGGGGAATGGTCGCGCATCTTGAAAAGTCTCCTTCAGCATCTTGGTCTATGGGCTCATCCTTGGCTTTTGAGCTTGAAGCTCGAGAGCGGCCGTCTTCAAGGATTGACTCGACTTTGAGATGAAAGTGGAGTGTGTAGGTCATCGCTATGAGAGGCGCTGGTTTCTCACGGAGATTGAATTGAGTCAGTAAATTCGCATTGTCACAGTACCGCTCTGAGTCAGATCATGATTGATGCTAGTGGGCTTCAAGTTCATCATATACCATTCTTGCTGCACTTACATCATGTTCATTGCATTCACACCGTTTTTGCTACATTCTTCATGTTCTCGATTGACTGCTACTGTTCTCATGGTCTTTTGTATTGTCCTCGCTGTCATTTTTACTGTTTTACGGTATCGTCATAGGTTGTTATGTATGTTTCAATTGATATCTACTCAATCTATGCTAGTTTCTGTATCTACTAGTAAGTACGCTCAGGTTTGAGCCCCAGCCTGAGCCTGAGAGAGGTGTAGAATGAATGGACCTCCGAGTCGCTGGGGCTTTTTTTATATGATATATACTAGCCCCAGCGAGAACTAAAATAACGAACCTCAGCGAGCTGATTTGGCAGGTGCGCTGAGACTCGCTGGCGTGCTCTCTCGCTCTCGCGACCTTTCACTGGGGAGCACTCTGTACCTACATAATCATCATCGTGATTGTGCGGCGATTAAAAATTTGGTACCAGTGGTGTGGGAGATTTGATCAAGTCCTTGAGCCGGGCCCCTGGGATCATGATACCAATGGTTGAAGTCAGCAAGAAAACCAACCACCAGTAATTATTAATTACTACTTGCGGGGTACTACATCAGGCACTGTGCCGCATCCTCAATTTCTTAATGTTCGGGTGTATATCAACACGACTCTCAGGCTCAGACTATGGCAGCTGTTCGCAAGTTAAGTTAACTCAAACATCTTCAAGACAGGCTACCGTGACTAGTAGTGCACGAACTTCAAGTCAGGCATACAGTTTTGGGGACAGCTTCTGCTTGCGCAGGCATGAGCGTATCATCAACCCCTGTGAGTCAACTCAAAACCTAGCCTATGATGCTGTTACTAATCTGTACAGTTTTAGTTCTGAACCCTGCAAGAATCAATACGCGTGCAGCAGCGAGCTGCACTCAGGCTAATATGCCGTTTCAGGCTCCAGCCGAAGGCCTATTCGGTACATGGGTAAGCGTCCTTGAGTCTGGAGGCCCTGTAAAGCTTCAGATTTGTACCCCATTTAATTCAACCATGCTGCTCTAATATCCTGATAATATGTAATAGGCACCTTGAGGTGAGTTTAAATGCCCTTCCAGATCGAAGTTCTACCAACCCTCAAACTCATTGTCACGGTTCCCTCTGCAAAGCGGCTCGACCGTCCTGTAGCCGTTTGCAGTGTTTACATCAATAAAATTCATGCCCCCAAGTAAGTTATTTCTCATTTTGATGGCCAGTCCAGACACTGACAACTTCAACATCAACAGTACGCATGCAGGATGACCCCTTCATTCACTGGAAGGTGGACATCGAACATGCAGAAGCAGCTAACTTGGCTCCTCTGACAACTTCGACATCAACAGTATGCATGCATGCTGACCCCTTCATTCACTGCAAGGTGGACTTCGAACGTGCAGAAGTGGCCAAGGCTTCTCGGCAACAAAGGCAAAAATTCATCACCAGCGCCATGACTACCATGGGATCTACTATTAGTGCTGCCCCAGAGAACGCAGGTCAGATGTTGGAAGGCCTTGCCAACGTGTTCTACCACTACGTCCCCCCCACGGTCCCTATGACAAGTCAAGTCTCCCTTCCTCAGCCTTACGTCCAATTGTCCTCCTTCCAGGCACCCTGGCAAGCACCTCTCACCCTGATGCCCTTTCAACCACCACTTGCTCCGCCATTGCCATCACCATCACCCCAACCACTCCCACCTTCCATACTACCCATATTGCCCATCCTGTCCCCATCGCCCATCCTGCCCCCATATGAATCACCCCCATCGCCCATACTGTCCCCATCACCCTCATGGCCCATACTGCCTCCACCGCCCCCACTGTCCCCATCTTTTCCATATCAGATCATGTGGCAAGATCCAGAGACAACACCAGCATGCTCAGGGTCAGCCTCCATCTGGCAGTGGGCACGTGAGCCAGCCTTGGGTAGCGAATTCAACTTGGACGAGTTGGTAGCAAAGTTGAATCTTGTGTGGGACGTGCGGAATCAGACATTCTGGGAGCAATTCACTCAAGATGTAGTAGAGTGAAACCTGTCATCGTGTTGTTGTCGTTTACTGCTAGTAGTACCACTTAGGATGGTTGGATTGGAAGTTCAGTCAGTGTTCGGGAGCTTTAATTGCATACTGGCTGATCCGCAGCATGCATGTTCTTAAAGGGAAATGCCAGATATATTAGGGGGACACGTGATAAGCACTCGCAAATTCAGAGGGCAGCTGCACCATGGGAAGTGGAGGCTTACTACAAATGGTCGACTGTTTGTTTTGCAAAGCACGTGAGTTTCGGCATCACATGACATGTTGAGCGTTAAAGTAGATTCGGCGCTGCCATGGCCGATTGCAGGCACAACTAAACAATCTTAGCTTATCACCGGAGGCTACATAGTGGGATGTAGTACAACAAGGAGGATAAGGAGAATATAAGGAGATTGCCGTCGACGAGAATGCATAGCAACTCAGGATCCAGATACATGGCAAGAATGACACAATAATTATTGGCAACAATGAGCAGTGAGGGGACCAAAAAGGCAAAGAAATTTATTGTATGGATAGACGAAAAATTAGGGTATGTAAGGCCAATGGTATCTATAGTCAAAATGAGATGAGACATCGAGTGTGTCGAATTTGAAGATTGGCATGGCGGGGAATGAAGCAAGGATAATATGGAGGTGTAGCTATTGTTCCTGCATGCCCAAGACGCGAATGCACACAAAGGAGTGTCCAGTTCTGACGTGACGTGTACAACGGCCGGGGTGTTTGGCAGACCTGAGTGAAAGGGTTGCAGCATAATGCCAAGTTTAAAGTAAGTCGGAAAAAGGAAGATCCTTGTGACGCTTCCTGCTCTGTTCGTGGCGTTTGCAGTCGCTCTGATTGAAGAACGCCTGACGACAGCCAGGAACACTGCAGACAAATGGTCGGACACCAGAGTGAGATTGCATACGACCTATTGCATTTATCTCAGTGACACCGTAGGAGGTAGTTTGACATATAGAACTTACACTTTAAGCTAAACACAGCTGTGAAGGTTTGCCCACATTCATTGCACCTATGGGTAGCTTCGTGGCGCCGACGTTGTTGATTGGCATCGAGCATAGCTTGATTCGCAACGGGACAAGTCATGCTTGACTCTGAATGTGAGCGAACGTGCCTACTGCCGACAGCCGGGGGTTGAAGATAAAATGTGGAATCACTTTGGGAATGGTGGTGTCGGAGAGAAGCTGAGCTCCCCCGACACGAAAGACTTAAATGGGGGATCATAGGAGACACGCTACCCTCAGAAGAAGGGGTAGTAATTTTGGACCATGGAGACGAAGGCGACTCGTGACTGGGGCTGGGGGAGAGTGTGGTGTAGGATGAGGTGGGCGATGGGGTATATATGGGTATAAGGCGCATGTTGTCAGTTGTACTATGTAACATCGTTTGTGGTGGTGGGGAAGGTGGAATGACCTGGAAGGTATCAGGAGACGGCGAAAACATATCAGGGCCAGAGATGTATTGCATTGGGCAGAATATGTCTTGTGACTGCTGAGGTTCGTTGAAAAGTTGCAGGAAATCATCAGGGCTCATATCATCCGATGGCGAGAATTGAGGATCGTAAGATGCAGCTGGGAATCTGTTCAGCTTGAGCATAGACAACACGACATGCATCGACTTACATCCTTCTTAAAAAAGTGTAGAAGAAGACGTAAATGGCAGATCATTGTTGTACATAGTATATGGAAAGGAGTCAGTATCGGGCCTATGCGAGCTGATGTATGAGTTGAGAGTCAATGATAGAAAGTACGAAAACAAACGTACTGTGCGGGAGCACGTCTGATTTGGTCAGATCCAGAAGGTGACTCTATATGAATGTGAGGGAGCGATGTGACCTGCACACGACGAGAGGGACTGTTGTTGGTAAAAGACATTGTAGTGGTGAGCGGATAACAGACCATGGAACAAGATGACTCGCGATTAAATAGAGGTCCAGCCTCCTACATATGATCCTATTTAAGCCAGTGCCGAGGCGACTATACGGTATCACAAACCTCGGCAACTTCTTTTGGGGAGACGCCCAAAAACGCCTGTCTCCATAGTGTTGCCACGGCTCCGGCTTGTTGCCGGTTTTAGCCGTGGCTAGAGCCGTCAATAGCTGAGCTGAACACACGGTTATAGCTTACGTAATTTACAGCCCGGCCCGGTTGAAGTAGCTGCAGTTGCAGCTTGGATCCAGTTCAAAGCCAACTAAATTAATATATTTAAAACTAAAACTAAAAATACATTAAGATCAAGCGCTGAAGATGCTGTAGCTTCAGCCTTCGAGTTGATCGTCTGAATCACAACGAAAATATAAACATATATTTGAAGCCAATGGGCCCTCAAAAAAATGTACATGTTCTTCCTGGTGTTCAATCAAACACTAAAACAAATTAGATCTGCTGCAGCTTTGAGCGCGCACGAAAGATACAAGAGTGGGAGAGGGAATTTGAGCGCCACTGTGCATCAATGAGGAGGGAGGCAGATCAAAAGACAAGAGAGCAGGAGAGGGAAGAGCGCAGATGCGCATCAAGGAGGAGGGAAGCGGATCGAAAGATGAAGGAGCAGGAGAGGAAAGAGCACCGATGCGCATCGAGGAGGAGGGAAGCAGATCGAGCTGATGGGCCATCGAGCTCGAAGTTGAAATGGAAGCCGAAGTGGAGATGTTGGATCTTGAGGATTTGGGGTCGCAAGGTGTGGGAGGAGGCAAAATAGTGTTGAGTGATACAACTGGCTTCTGTTCAGGTGAAGTAGTAAGTAGGTATCCTGTAAGAGTAGATAAGAATGTTACCTTTGGAAAATTGGGTCCAATGTGTCTTGAGGGTAGCACTATAATTCAATTGTAAGCAGAAAATGAAAAAAAACACATACCTGACATTTTGTGATCGTGCGGACTGAGATGGGAGTGATCATAAGCAGAAAATGGAAAAAAAACACTCGCTTGGAGTACATACCTGACATTTTGTGATTGTCCGGACCGGGATGGGAGTGATCATAAGCAGAAAATGAAAAAAACACTCACTCGAAGTACATACCTGACATTTTGTGATCATCCAGACCGGGATGGGAGATGAGCGACTTTACACACGATGCAGGACTCAGAGTAGGGTAGAATAGGCTGAGGGGTGTGATGTGAGTATAGATGAGGATTCTGATAAAAGGATGATGCACGGATTAGTCATATCGTAGACGACTAGCCGCAGGCTGCCAGGATGTCAGGACCTGAGCTGTCTGCTTGGTCTGTTTTCTGTCGATGAATGCTTGCAAACCGCTATGATTCGATCGTAAGCAGAAAATGAAAAAAAAAAACATTCGCTCAAAGCACATACCTGACATTTTGTGATTGTCCGGACCGGGATGGGACATATAGCAACTTTACGCATGATGCGGGACTCGGAGTAGGGTAGAATAAGCTGAGGGTGTGATGTGAGTATAGACGAGGGTTTTGATAAAGTATGACGCACGAATTAGTTATATCGTGGACAACCAGCCGCAGGCTGCCAGGATGTCAGGACCTGAGCTGTCTGCTTGGTCTGTTTGCCGTCGATGAATGCTTGCAAACCGCTATAATTCGATCATAAGCAGAAAATGAAAAAAAAAAACATTCACTTGAAGCACATACCTGACATTTTGTGATTGTCCAGACCAGGATGGGACATATAGCGACTTTACGCATGATGTGGGACTCGGAGTAGGGTAGAATAAGCTGAGGGTGTGATGTGAGTATAGACAAGGGTTTTGATAAAGGATGACACACAGATTAGTTATATCATGGACAACCAGCCGCAGGCTGCCAGGATGTCAGGACATCATCCTCATCAGGCGCATCACTGGTGGTAGTCCCTGAGTTCCCAACACTTTTTGCATGCTTGGCATACTGTTGTGCCTCCTCAACAATGCTCGCGAAGACGTTGTCAAAAAGTGCTACAATGGGCCCCATGAGCTTGATGGTCATATACCCCCAGATAGGTTTGCTGAAAGCAAACTGCTCACCCTTTGTGATGACGGGTGTCCAGATATCACCGCCATTGGTCTTCATGCCTTTGCGTTTGCCACGGGATTCTTGAATGACTTCAAAAGTGATGTTCCCATCAACGATTAGCTGGAGAGTACGATAAACCTGAAAAGAATATTTTAGAAAAAACACAGCAGAAATTGAATTACTTACAGCAGTAACAGCGAGGGCAAATGCAGCCCATGCACTAATGCTCTTGGTGTTGAGGTCAGGGACTTCAACACGGCCAAAAGTGAAATTGAGGTGCGATGCAAATGTCTGAAGTATGAAGGGAGATCTCCACATGCCTGTCCAGTCCTTTGAACAGACAATTGAGATGATTTCATAGTAATAATTATGGGTACTTGTGTAGAAGGGGGGGCACAAGGAGGGGGGGAGGATAAGGACTCGGTCCTTGCCATTATTGGTGGGCGTTTTTTTGGTCGTGATGGAGGTGGCGATAATGAACTACTATCACTAACCTCCAATACATCCTGAGTGGGGAGTGAGTGTGATGTGAATGCGCAAAAGATAAAAGAAATGTAAGGTGGCTATACGAGTTCGGAAGGGAATTGATCGAGGATGAAGTAGATAGACAATTATGAAGATGAGTATGCGACTGACAGCGACAGACTTTGAGACGAGCTAGACGGAGCGACTGTTATTAGAGACGTTCTGAGGACACTTGGAGTGGGGAATCATGGTGTTAGATTCTACTACTGAAAATGAGAGTACATGTGCCGTATATATACGTTTGAACGAGTTGACTAGTCCTGAAGGAGCGTGAAGACCGTATGGTAGAGTGAAGGAAAGACTGGAAAGACTGGAAAGGAATGGCAAGAAAAAGGGTCCAGTTGGTAAGTGTACTGTAAAGCGATGAAAGAGAAAGGAAAAGGTCAGGGATGTGTCCTCGCTGCTCGGACGCAAAGCGTGAAGCTTCTTCGCATCAATGAGTCATGTGGAACGTCGGATGGATCCGAGCATCTATCTAAAGTTGTGGTCGGTGTGTAGAGGACATAGGGTCCTTACAGAAATACCATAGAAGATGTGTGCCTGGCACCAGGCTTTTTAGTAGCCTTGAAGGCAGCCTGACGCTCGAGTGAATCGTCCTCATCCAAAAATGCTGTGGTAGGTTCTTCAAGATTGCCTTGGACATTGTTTGTGGGGTGTGGGCTGTGAGTGGGATCAGCACCGGCGCTAGTCACTTTTGAGATCTTTGAGATGGCAGTTGAGGTGGTAATCGAGGACACCTGTCTGTGTGATGTGGTTCGAAGGCTTTCAAGTTGAGGCCGGAGCAACTTGCTTGTTGCAAGTTTCTCAGCCCAGTCCTTTGTTTTCCCCATCCCCACATAGTCATCCTTGGCTGTGCAGACGTCCGCACTGAATTGATTGAGGCGATCAAGATGAAAAAGTGTCGTTTCAGTGAGTAACAACATGGTAGTAGATGGGAACAATTAGAATCACTTACATGAATCCTTTCTTGCCTTTCTGGTCACCATGTGCCTTTGTGCGATCAGCATCTGATACGACATCATTCTGATGGCTCATGCCATCATGTTTGATGCCCATATTATTAACACTTCGCTCAGCATGGACAGCCTCACGATATGCTGTCTTCTGTAAACGCTTGTTCCTCGGCTGCACCTCTGCATTCTCCTCCTCACTGGATACAACATGGTCAGCCCGAGTGTGCATGGTGAGTCCCCTGGAAACTTACCTTAGATGAAAGTCCTCATCGCCATCATTATCATCTGCAGCTATATTCCTCATTTCAACTTCCTCCATCTCAGCCGCACCTTCCGCAATCCCGTCATCATACTCAATGTTTGGCTCGCTCACCTTTGACTTTGAAATAGGATGCGCCCGAGGCCTAGGCTTTGGTGCATGCATGAGGATCTTCAAGTCCTTCAACGTCTTCTTGTCTTCAATAGAGGCAATCTTCTCAGTGGTGTGCTGAGCGGCAGCTTCCTTCTCCTGCCATTCATGCTCAACTTGCTCGTTGTCTTCCTGGATTTGATGAGCAGTGCGTCTTTTCCTTTTGTTTTGGAGGAGAATCTCACCAGGATGCTGGTTTGCATTTTTAGGACAAGTGTTTGGGCGCATCATTGTTTGAAAGGTTGGGCTTGCAGAGGAGAAAATTTATGGTGTAAGGCAGAGCGGTTGCGATGGTCTTTGAAACTTTAAGATATGTGTCACACACTCTGTTTTGTATGTATTACATTACATTCTACCTAGCGTGTTTGCTAATGGTTCAGGCTTTTCAGTTGGTTTTCTGGGATTCTTCCCATCCATCATGCTGGACAAGATCCCTCATGTGCAACTCAAACGACAGGCATTTAGTGCCCGACACATTCAATGTTCCTACCCAGGCTGCAAATGCTGGTTGAAAAATGCCTCTGGGCTGAAGTGTCATCAAAGCTCGGCCCATAGCCACTTGTTTACCCATCCTGGTTTGCAATGCACGCAACGTGCTTCTGTTGAAGAAATCGAAGACGAAGAAGCTCCGAGACGCACTAACAATGAGCTCTGGGAGTTAAAGCATGGACTCATTCAGGATTATCACGAGACGCTGACTGGTAAGTCGATGGTCATGCTGCAGTACCAGCTTGTATCTGATGAAAACCTATACCCACAGGTCGTATTTGTGATGAGAATGGCAACTTTCTCAATCCTGGTACTCCTCCTCCACCATACATGGCAAAAAGTCCTGACAACTGGACTCCGTATCGCAACCGACTAGAGTTTGAGTGTGCAGATTTTATATACACTGAAAACCAGATGTCTGCTGGGGATATCAACAAGATTCTCTACTTGTGGGGAATCACTTCCGCTGTTCATCATGACAATCTGCCATTTTCTGACTACAGGGACTTATACAATACTATCAACGCAACACCGCTAGGTGATGTTGCATGGGAAAACTTCTCCCTGAAGTACAACAGCAATAAACCCACTGGAGAGTGTCTGCTCTGGATGGAACAGTCATACGAGGTTTGGTTCCGGGACCCTCATACTGTTGCCAAGAACATGCTTGCAAATCCGGATTTCAAAGGTGGAATAGATTATACACCCTACTGTGAATTTCAGGAGAAGGATGAGCAATGCCGCTATAAGGACTTCATGTCAGGAGACTGGGCCTGGCAGCAAGCAGTATGTATTTTGTGTCTGGTAGTACTACATTCTTATGTTGATGTCATGTACAGGACGAAATTTCACAGGACCCACAAACACATGGTGCAGCTTTCGTTCCCATCATCATAGGCAGCAACAAGACAACAGTGTCCATCGCTACCGGTCAAAATGACTACTATCCTTTGTATCTTTTGATTGGAAACGTCCACAATAATATTCAGCAGGCGCATCGCAACACATTGGCTCTGGTTGGATTCTTGGCAATCCCTAAGAGTATGTACCAGTTTCTCTCCCAATCTACTTTGATGTTTACACTATTGTATACAGCAGAAAAAAAGAATTCAGATGACATAAAATACCGCAAGTTCAAGAAGCAGTTGTTTCACTCCTCATTGTCGAAGATCTTTGCCAATCTCAAACCTGGAATGACGACTCCAGAAGTCACACAATGTGGTGATGGACACTACCAGCGCATTATATATGGACTCAGACCCTACATTGCAGACTACGAAGAGCAGGTGGTATTGGTGTGCATGGTCAAAGATTGGTGTGGAAGGTAAGTGGCTACCAGAGATCCTCAGGACACCACCTATTCACGTCCGCATTCATTTTATGCTGAGTCTCATTTACATTTGCAGATGCCTTGCATTTCCCTCAAATCTTGATGAAGGAAGCATTTCTTGGTCATGTGAACACACTGATGCGCTTGTGGATTCTGTCGATTTTGGTATACTTTGGGATGAGTATGGTATTATTGGCGAGCTAGTGGTATGTTCCCCCCACATCATTTGTGCGTGGTTGTGATCGCATTAACTGTCGCACTTCGTAGCCCTTCACCAATGACTTTCCTCGTGCTGACATTCATGAGTTGCTCGCCCCCAACATACTGCACCAGCTCATCAAAGGAACATTCAAGGATCACCTTGTTGAATGGGTGGGTCAATACCTCGAACTCACGCATGGAAAAACACGTGCCAAGGCAATTTTAGATGATATTGACCGAAGGTACTTTCAATCTGCCACTGTCTATCATGATGACTGACAATACACTAGAATTGCTGCCGCACCACCCTTCCCTGGCCTATGACACTTTCCACAAGGGCGTGGATTCTCACAATGGACGGGCGATGACTCCAAGGCACTGATGAAGATATGTTTTTGTGCTTTAATTATCTTGCATTTGTTAAATTTACACAACTGTTTATCTAGGTCTATCTACTAGCAATTGAAGGCCATGTACCAGACGATATGGTTCGGGCATTTCGAGCCTTGCTAGAGTTCTGCTACATCGTGCGCGTGGATGTGGTTACGGACGACACTCTTGCAGAGCTGAATGATGCCCTTAGGCGTTTTCATACTTACCGTACCATTTTCCAGACTACCGGTGTCCGTTTCGACATTTCCCTACCCCAACAACACTCTCTCATCCGAATGTTTGGTGCTCCAAATGGCCTCTGCTTGTCGATCACGGAATCAAAACATATCAAGGCAGTAAAGCAACCATGGCGATGTTCAAGCAAGTACAATGCACTCAGCCAGATGCTCCTTGCCAATCAGTGCCTGGACAAAATCACAGCAGCAAGAGTTGACTTTACGATGCGTGGCATGCTCAAAGGGTCTTGCACCTTCAGCTACTACAATCCATTTTGTACATGGTCTGTATGATTTTAATTGAATTTTACTCATTGAATTTCCAGTTGAGAATCCCTCATATATTGGCAATGATGATGGAGACCTGGAGGTCCAACAGAGCCAAGCACGTGCAGGGAATAATCTTTTTGCTATTGAGAGTGACGACTTCGACGATGTTGAGGATCAGGGCATCGTGGATGACATGGATGTCATTGCTGATGTGCAGTTAGCACGGACTCTTTGTGTGTATTCAACCTTTTGGTGATCTTCTTTCTTAACACAACATTCAGAATGAAAACGCGCCCGCACCGTTGCTGATCTCGCAGGTGAACTTGGCATCCCATCATTCCCAACCCTCATTTGTCTCTTCTTGTACGACCAAATACATGCAGACAACCACCATTCTTCTGCCGACGTTCCACTTTGTGACTGTCCATCCTACATGGGACCAATCAAGATTTTCCATTCAGCCGCTGCAACTTTTGTTGCACCCAGTGATCCAAGTGGAATCACTGGCATGCGCCATCAGCACATCCATGCTGTGCCTTCGTGGCGCAACGGACCAGCCCGCTTTGACTGTGCCTTTGTCAACATGGATGATAGGCATGATGGAATGTTAAGCATGATTGTTGTTCAAATATTCTGCTTTTTTTCTTTCACTTTCACTAACGGTTGCACATATCCATGTGCCCTCATTCACTGGTTCTATCGCATCACTGAGGAACGAGACGAGCTCACAGGAATGTGGATGGTGGCACTGTCTTTCAACGAAGATGGCTCTCGTGATCTGTCAATCATCCATATTGACAGTATCATTCGTAGTGCTCACTTACTCCCAATATTCGGTATGCAGTTCGTACCACGCGGTCTTCAATTCTACGATTCTCTGGATGTCTATCGAGGATTCTATGTAAATCGGTTCATAGATCACCATGCTTTCATGCTGGCATCTTAATACACTCATTTTTCTTGCAACACTTAAGTTTAAAAATTATCTTAAAAATGCTTTTCAGCTCTGAGTGTCTTTGTCAGCTTGATGTTAAGATATTCAAGTCACCCTCCAAGTCAAATCGAGACCTTGGACATCTTGACATACTTGGGCGCCAAACCAAGTGGAGTAAGTTCTAAATAAGTTAATTTAAGCAACGTGGTGTTTTACTGATGTACTAGATTGAATCTAGTGGTATTCAGAGTCCTACTGCTCGGCTTTCCACCATTTAAAGCCCCGATGGCTCCGATCAAATATCTCATTCAATCTTTATATCATGGCTCATTCAACGTTTTAGACCCATACATAATATTAGAGTTAGAATGTCACCACCGTCAACAACGCCGTTATCGTCACCCTACCACATCGGGGGTTCTCTTTGTGACATCACAGGCAACATGCCTGAACTCGCCGGTCCAATTTTCCAGGTCGAAACTGCTGGGCGCAAGCGAGAGATGCAGACATATATGGTTGGATCTTCCCATTGCACTTAGTAGCAGGCACTGACTTTCTTGTTATAAGATGGTGCTCGATGGAATCGAGACAGAAGCTGATGAGCAGGACGCACTGTTTACGAAATTATGCATCGAAACAGTGCATTCGAGCTATCTTGCGGTGCAGAATCATGTGCGCCAGTACACCCAATTCTTGACACTGCTAAAGTGTGAGGAGGATGCATGGGCACAGAGAGCTAGCAGGGCATGTTGTCTAATGCCGGATTACAAGCCTGGCAGTCACTCATTCTAGGGATTTTTTAATTTTTCTGTAGCAAACTCATTGAAGTTCCTACTAGTTTTAGGATATTTTATCTTAGCAGGTGATCGCATCACTTGTCTTGTTCTTTATGTTTCCATATACCGTACTATTCCGCTTATCTACATTCCGCTATCAACTTTGTACTAGGATCTGAACCCGACAATGTATCCCTTACTTGCTCATTATGCTTGGCAAATGAACGACTTGTCAGTTAAAACTGTATATGGTAATGTCTGAAAGAGGACAAAACTGTCGCACGCAACTATATTATTGCCGCCAGAGCTTGAAGTCAAGTCGTCAGATGCGTCTTTCTCAACTGCCTTGGCCCGGCATTCTGTTGCTTATCTTCGTCGTCTCAATGGTGCTCTGCGGTGCACCACGTTGCTCTTGGGAGAGGGGTACGGATTTTCGTGGACTTAGCAGACACCGCTCGGTCTGCAAGCACTACCAGAAGGCAAGCACATTAGCTACGGAGAGAAGGCGAGACCGGGCAAGAGGGTCCATTCAAACCTTGCAAAAGTCCTCGCAGCTCACAACTACTAGCGGTACAGTTCCTAGCGTAAGTCTCTAACTTCATACTGTACATGATTTACCCTACTAAACCCTCATATGACTCTCCTACTACCTCCCATCACAGCTTGGGCCGATCCAATTTACCAAGGATTGTTGCTTGAAACCCATAGCTCAGTGCGAATCTGGGGTATCTTCCAGTAGTAGCTTCGAGTCCAAGTCGTCACCTGGGCCTGCTATCGTCGCAGGCAGCACTGCTCACGCTACTAGTACTTCAACCTTTACATTTCAAGACCCCCAAGTTTTTGATGTTGCAATGGAGGATGCTGGTGAACGGGCCCATGACATCTGAGGTGTGAACCTTCCCATCGTCTTGTACACAGCACTCAAATCGCAAGCCAATTTAGTTCTACATTCCTCGCGACAGAATCTCGGGCCGATCCCAAGAAATTTTGAAGATGTTCTACCTGCTGACGAAGACATTAACATTTCGGATGCTTCTTGGAATCATACCGCGACCGAAACTCAGAATCTGCCTCAGTGCAGAATCCAAAGAGTCCTTTTGACTCTGCGGGATTCTCTTCAGACTGCGCTCAATGCTTTTGGACTTTATCGACAATATCCTAGGCGACCTTCCTTTGAGCCTGATAAATATATCCCGTCTTCGCTACTCGCTAAGTCCTGTCCAATGGCTACTGACGGACATTACGCCCAAAGGCCTGATACATCTCCCAAGCCACCTCATCCCTTCCCCAATATGACCACCTACCGCCTCATGACTTGGATGAACTCTGGAAGTCATTATAAATCGGAGGCTGAGGTGTCGCGCTTAGTTAAAGATGTGATTCAAGCGGAGGACTTTAATCCAAGGGACCTCGATGGATTTTCTGTGAGGAAGAGCTTGCGTGCATTAGACCACGATGATGACGGAGAAAAGAGGACTTGTGCTTTCCCAGATGACTGGTTAGAAGCTGATATCACTCTGGACATACCTACTAAGTCAAGAGATGACCCTTCCAAGTCGTTCACCGTTCCGGGGTTTCATTATCAACCGCTCCTAGGAGTCATCCGCTCCGTATTCACCGACATCCAAGCTAACGCGTTCCACCTACTTCCTTTCAAGCGACTGTGGAAGGACCCTCTTGATGACAGCCACCAATGGGTATTTGATGAGCTGTATACATCTGACTCATGGCTACAGGCTCAGGATGACCTACAGCGGCAGCCGAGAGAACCTAATTGCACACTAGAGTGTGTCATTGCCGGACTTATGTTCTTCTCCGATGCGACTCATCTTGCAACCTTTGGAACGGCGAAGGCTTGGCCCCTTTACCTATACTTTGGAAATCTAACCAAGTATGCACGCTCAGCACCTAAATCTGGTGCATGTCATCTTATCGTGTTTCTACCTTCGATACGTTAACGGTCTCTAGCTTCATACACATCTCATGTTAGATTTTCAGCTTCCGGATAGTGTCAAGGATGTCCTCAGCAGCTTACCTCGGATATCGAAAACCGGGATAGCTGCCCTCCACACACATTGTCGGCAGGACTTATTTCATGCCTGTTGGAAACACTTACTGGACGCAGACTTTCTTGAAGCATACCGTCATGGAATTGTGTTACAGTGTCCGGATAGTATACTGAGATGGGTATTTCCACGCATATTTACTTACTCCGCAGATTACCCAGAAAAGTGCGCACTTTTTACTTTGTCTTCCTCGTTGAAATGAAACTCGACTTCCTAGGGTTTTGATAGCAACAATAAAGGACATGGGATCTTGCCCATGTCCACGCTGCCTCACGCCGAAAGCCTCCTTCTATCTCCTGGGCCTGTTGAAAGATATGCGAAGTCGTATAGGTAACCTCCAAACTTACTGTCTGGACAGGGTGACAAGTGCCCAGGGGTTCATCTATGGGTTGGGAAATACCGTCGATGGTTCAAAGGTGCAGGCAACTCTGGGAGAAGGTTCATGGGTGCCAACGGTGGTGAGTACCTTTGAATTCATTGGTCTTAGATTACTACCTGACTTTTTACCAGAACACTTTTGCAGAAAAACTGGGACATTTAGGATTCGATACCTTTCGCATGCTGGTGGTCGATTTCATGCACGAATGTGAGCTGGGCACTTGGAAGGCCCTGTTTACCCACCTCATCCGTCTACTCTATGCATGTCCGGGTGGCGAACACCTTGTCGCAACTCTTGACAACAGGTTCGTCCCTCACCTTTATTCACCTTATTGATTTAATAAGTGATGGCACTGAAACCAGATTTCGCCATGTTCCATCATATGGTAATGGAATCATACAGAAATTTTCAAACAACACTTCAGAAATAAAAAGACTCGCAGCGAGAGATTTTGAGGATATCTTACAAGTATGTCGCATTGATCGAGTTGAGTTGTGGATGTGCGCTGTTGACATCTATCTCAGTGTGTCATGCCAGTCTTCGAGGGGCTTTTCCCAGAAAGCCATGATGAGCTGGTACAATCTCTTTTGTACAGGTTTGCCCTATGGCATGCCCTGGCCAAACTAAGAATCCATTCCGACACTACGTTGTCATTTTTAGATGAGACCTTCAAGCGGCTCTCCCGTCAACTACGCAAGTTCCGAGACTTTACCTGCGCTGCTTTCACTACCTTGGAGTTACCAAAAGAAAAGGCCGCTCGAGATCGCAAGGCCGCCCATGAACGCTCATGTGTCAACAACCCAGACACTACGAGTAACAGCCGAAAGACTAAGAAATTCAATTTGAGTACGTACAAATTTCACGCCATGGGTGATTATCTCTAGTCAATATGGCTCTTTGGGACCACAGACTCCTTTACATCACAAATTGTAGGTGAACGTCTGCTGTACTATTGCCTTCCCATCTTAATTTGATTTTGGGCAGGGAGAATTGGCGCACAGAGCATTGAAGGCCTTCTATCCACTAACAAATAAAATAGATACCCCAGCACAGCTTGCTAAGCACGAGCATTGTCGTCGTATCCTTTGGCGAGTCGCAGAGTCAGACCACAGTCTATACACTAGCAATCAGGTGCCGGTCGACTTGCCTGTAGGGTTCAAAGATCACCACTACATACCGAAGAACTACAATAACCCATTGCATATCTTCACTTTTCTTCGAGATCATGGTGATGATCCGGCTGTAGCAGTAGGTCCTGGCTCCTCTTATTGTTCATATCGTTCATGCTAAGGCCCAGGCGTTCATACCGAGGCTTAAGGATCATATACTATATCGTCTGCGCAAGTTAGACATCACCCATTGCGACCACGTGTTCACAGATGAGGAGTGCAATTCTGTCATAATATCAGACAGTAGACTATACTCAGTCCAGACCATGCAGGTATTTGATTCACCCCTTGAGTCTTGCTAGCCTACTCAGGCTAGTGTTCGCCCTCATAGGTCCATTACACAACCTATGACCTTCGACGAGAGTACGACACCGTCAATCCTCGGACCCACTCTGATATTATGGTATTATCCAGCGAAACCAGGCCACAACATCCATATTTGTATGCCCGAGTTCTCGGCATCTATCATGTAGATGCATGGCTGAATGTCGAAGCTACAATGAAACGACACCAAATCAAGGTTCTTTATGTTAGATGGATGGCACCCTTGGCAGACCACCGGTCAGGCATGAGTTGCGCTAAACTGCCAAAGGTTGCTTTCATTGACGAGTCTGACCACGATGCCTTTGGCTTTCTTGATCCAGGTCAGGTAATCCGAAGTGCGCACCTCATTCCAGCTTTTGCCTCTGGGCGCGGAACCACCTCCCTTCGCTACAAAAAATCATTCGCTTGTCAGAGTGGTGATTTAGATGATTGGGAGGCATACTACATTGGAATGTAAGCGAAACCTCCAACCCTGTTATCCTGACTCAAGCCGTAGCTCGCTCAGTTTTGTTGACCGGGATATGCTTATGCATTATACACCTCATGGAATAGGGCATCCAATGGTCGTGCAGGAGATATTACGAAATTGTGCCAATGCGGAACTCATGGACAATGCACCGTGCGAGCATAGCATCCAACCCTGCGAGGGCGATGTTGAGCAGGGTGGGAGTGACGACGACAATGAAGGAGAGAGTGATGACGACAATGAAGGAGAAAGTGATGATGGTGACAGTGAGGAGTCCGATGCTCAGGATTCAGATGATCAGGAGATGGAAGATGGGGAAGGCAAGGAAGACAATTTTATGTCCTTCTAATTCACTAGGATCGTCGAAGCTTGTACCTGCCGCCACTTTTCGTTTTCAGGCTAGATCGCCATCATTCTGTGCTCCATCGCTTTCACTCAATGGCTCACGAAGGGCGATTTGTTCTGTCCGGCTCTCAGGCCACTAGTCCAAAGGTTTCACCACACTTATCATAGCTTTCGGGCTGCATCATGGCTGTACATGGGCCATAGCGCACTGAGCGTCACCGTCAGGATATAAGAGTTATCTGATTTGATTCACAAGTAGTACAGATTTGAGACGAATAGCTAGATAAAAGCAAGTCATAAGCCAAAACACCCTCAGATCGGGACAGATGTGAGCCATGTCACCAACCCAACAAACATTGAATAAGAGATATACATTTAGCATATCTTGGTTATGCATCAGCAGGAGATCCGTTATGGAACAGCGAATGACATACCTGGATATGCACAGTTCTCAATGACATCCGTCACAGGCTGCTCTGCCTTCAAAAATAGCACCAGCGAGAGAAAGAGGACAGTACAAGTTATGATACGTGCGTATGTCAGGGTGGTCCCCATCTTTTTGCGTGGTGTTTCCCTGAGTGTGTACTAAGTCATGATGACAAAGCACATTGAAAGACATCTTTATTAACAAGGTAATGAGCCCCGATACATCCACTTCATATCACTCACCAACTAGAAGCTGCACCACGATATGCGGTTAGAATGGGTACCCGGGTGTAGTAGTAGAGGACGACGAACGTTAGCTTGAAGGCAGGAGAGTCCGTGTACTTTTTCGAGTTCTCAACTTATATCACGTGATGAATGATGTAATACTGTACCCGCTACGCATAAGCATCAACAGCTTCAAGTTGAACAGCATTGAATATTGAATATTGAAGAACCTTCTCCACAACTAAGACCGTTCTCGTCACTGCCAGCGAGAATCGTCCAATTCCAGACGGCAAGTACCACTAGTTCACTGCCAGCCTTCCTTCAATTTGCTCATACGCAACTGTGTAATGTAACTCATGGAGACCTGCTTCGCTCCCGGTATAGTCCCCCCTGTCGCCCACCCCGCAGGCCAAACTGGCTAGACTCAATAAACGCTGGCATCTTTCTTCTCTGGCAAGGTGCCAAGTCCACATACGTCTGTAGGCGCTACGCTCTCATTAAGCTAAGGTATAGGGTGCAGCTAACAACCATCCACAGCAAACCACTTGTGACCCCACACTCTGGATATTCCTTTGGAACAACTTTTCAGTGAATTGGGAGAACATCACCTCCAGTCGCATGTGCATCTGACTCTTGTTGGGCGTTGCTTCGGATCTTACCTGATTCATCTGGCAGGTTTCTCCCATCAAGACATAGAGCACATATTGTTCAATGGCCTTTCATTCTACTTCATGTCGCCTGGTGTCATGCAAGTCCTCGAGAACTCGCGTTTCTTGGGCCTCTGCTGTCTCGGTATTTCTCCACTTCTCACTCACGCAACACCACTAACGAAAAATACCAGGCGGCATCGCATCCAGGGTGACGAGTCTCGCATGAATCCAACTACTCTTCACATGGCGCAAGCAGTTCGTCCATCTCATGTCAGATCTTCAAAGCATTCAAAGAGTATTGGTAACTTTTTCAATGCTTTCTTGGCTGTCACAAATCCTGTGGGTACCTTCTTATGTCTTCGAGTAACTTAGCATTGCTTATCTGCTCATTAGGTTTTTGCATATGCAGGTACGGAATTTTGTGATGTTAATCAGCATTCCTAGATACTTTACTAGGGCACTTCATGCGACTTTTGGCATGGTATTCCTGCTGAAACTGACCTATGACAGGTTCTTTATTCTGATATATAAGATGCATAAACCCGAGGGCACTATGATAAAGGTCAGAACGCTCCTGTACTCGATGTTGTGACTGAAGGCCATTTTCAGGCAGCATGGTGTCTACAGGGCTTCGCTACAGTATTCGTTTTCAGCGTAGTCATGTATGTCAACATTGGAAACACAATCCAGTCCCCGATCCTCTTTTCTCTTCCTATGGTATGGGCAAAGGCAGTGTTTGCCATTGCTCTCCCAAATTTCCTGTGGTCAGTGATGCCTTGCTGTTTCGTTTAGTCCTCACTAATTCTTTTTCGGGAAGCTCTTCCGGGCTACTAATACACTCATCCAGCTACAAAGCTGGTGTTTGTTTGCATATTTCATCATTCAGAACACGTCCATTCGCATACCTTACTCGGGTGGACGGTTTGGACTCTGCTGTGTTTTGCAGGCACAGCTATTGCCACAATTCTCGCCATCACAGTCCCAATATTATCCTACCTAATTGGCATCGTGGCAGCCCTCTTTGCCGCATGGTACACGTAGGGTTTGGCCGAATTCTTCTGGTTACATGACACATATCATCTCGAAGGTGGCATGGACGGGCTGGAACAACCACCAATCAGGACCACACTCACAGTGTTGACTATTATTTCCAGCACTTCCATCTGTGTCACTGGGACTTATGTGTCGATAAAGGTCAGTGTTCGTGTCTTCGCATCTGACACTTGTCTCACTGTCAGTGATTGATGATAGCTCATCGTCAAAGTATACGCCAATGGCCAAGTTGGGAAACCTTTCGTTTGCTAGGGGGGATTCTATTGTGGCGTAATGTGTAGTCCGTGTTGAGTCCTTTGAATTTAACTTTTAGAGCTTTTCCTAGGACAATTAAATCATAGATGTGGGCCTGACTGCTTTACTCTCGGCTCTCCTGTTTCTTTGTATCTAAATTTCCTGGTGGGAATTAGCGAATGTACTCGATTTTAAACTTTTCTGTCTGCTAAAAGTTCGCTTGGAGAAGCCCTGACAATGCTGGAGAAGGTTAAGAACCATCGCAAAAGTGGTGCTGGTGGCAGCATGTCACAATTTTGTTACGAAGTCTAATGCTATTCTAGATTTGTTAACTGGTCCCAAAAGACACAAAGGTCCTGAATAGCATCTTAAATCAAAAGATAAATCAGGCAAAACTAGAACAATCAACGAGATTGAGAAAAGTGCGCTGCTGAGCCTTGCCTGCTGCGGTGACAGCATGTTATATTTTTGTTATGAAATGTAATAATATTCTATATCTGTTGACAAGTGCTAAAGGCACCTCCCACAACAAGGTCTTGGATGGTCTCTTAATTCTAACCATACGTGACGAAACACGAGAGCATCCGAGAGGTATGAGGGAAGTACACCACCGTCCTATGTTGATGTTCACTGCCACAGGTCACAACTTCATTACAAAGTCACACGCTATTCTACATTTGTTGACGAGTGATAAAGGCACCTCCCACGGGAATGTCTTAGATGAGATTATAATGCAAAGCAAAGTAAGACAAAATGACAATACTCAAAATGATTGCCACCAGTATACTACCACCCCTCATTGACTGCAATGCAGGAATGTCATCATATTTTTGTGCACTACTCATGTGACTCTAAATTTGCAGGCACTGATGGCTATGTATCTACAACTCAAAATTTTCACAGTATAGATGAGCATATTTAGTAGAGCAGAATTATATTCTTCTACAGTTCGCACTAGGGCTGCACACCGTACCGTATACGGTAGACGGCCATATACATACGGTATAAATACGGTATATGGCTAACCCGTACACCGTACATGACATTGGTGGTGGACGAAGTGGACGGTACAGTACAGTGAATTATACGGACGTATACGGCAGTGTACGGTACATATGGAATGCAAATCAACTATGAACGACCCAAACGAAGCCTCGCCTTCACGAGCATCAATGTCCTGATAGTCTCAGGCTTGAGACTAGCGCGCCGCAGTGAAACCGTGTCATGACCACCAGAGAAAACTCGTTCAACAGCAACAGCAGATCCTACAAAGAAGAGAACTAAGTACAGACACCTGGGACATGGAGTAAGTACTCACCAGGTATTGAAAGGATATCACGCGCAAGTCGAGAGAGGTTCGGAAATTGTGCTCGGTGACCTGCCCACCATTGAATGGGGTCACAAAGGTCAAAGTCCTCTTGCGGAAGCTTCAGATACTCCTCGAATTCGTCCACTGACAGATTCGACTGCTTCTTATACCTCGCTGTAAAGTTCACCTTTGATGGGGACATTCTGCCATCTGACACATTTGCATGGCGGCCTGTGCTGGTAGATGGTGTGCAGTCCCGTGCAACGGATGTAGCGATATAGTCAGCTTTATATAGGGCATGTAGGTCGTTCTTCAGCGAGTCAATTTGCAACTGCATATTTCAGTAAATATTGTAACAAACATACTGACAGTGATGCTTCCATTAGTGTAAAGCACATGCAGAAAGCCATCAGACTCGTCGCTGTCGTTGTCGTTGGTGGTGCAGGGCATGGCGGTTCAGGGCAAGAAGCTACCGGGTAAAGCGGCACCCTGTTCCGACCGTATAAGCCGTAAAGGTACCGTCGACGGCCGTATGGAAGACGGTTTGTACGGTGTACGGCCAAGCCGTACACCGTACCTGTCTGCCTCCCTTTGCAGACCAGCCGGTACGGCAACCGTATCCGTCGACGGTCGCCGTACAAACCGTCTATTACGGCGACGGTGTGCAGCCCTAGTTCGCACGGCTACAATACCAAAGTCTCATCAATTCACTGATGGATGCGAGGGACTCGGTTCCGCTAGAAACTTGAATGCGGTCCAGAACTAGAATCCAGGTTAAGCTTTTCGTGGTGTATCTCCTGCTACTAGAATGGTACTGAATTAGGATACAGAGCAAGGAGGCAACTCAGTAGCATGGCATCCAATACTTGATGCTGATCTGTACAGACTATTCTTCGCCGTGCACTGCTATGGATGCTAAGCCAGGCGCATTAATTATCAACTTCAAGATTCAGAGCCACGATTTCCGTATTAATCTACGGACTCGACGCGTCGACGCTGAAGTCCATCGGAGTTCCCTTCCAAGGGCACACCGACCTCAGTGCTCTTGCACTCTTGTTTGACAACGTTCTCCTCGACAATACTTCCTATGACAAAACCATGAAGCTTTGTGCCTTCTATTTCCGACAGTTCTTTGCCTCCTTTGACGGCGAACTTGTCCTGGAAGCTTTCATATTCTCACCTGACTCACTTCGACTGGCTTGCACTTTTTTTTACGATGAATCCAACGTCTATATACACAAACTGACCCCCGTTCTACTTGCTATACAGTCTACCCTCCACAAAGTACGCATCGGCACGCATGAATTCATATTTTGTGAAACTAACCTTCTCTCGAAGACCGATGCTACTCTCCAGCATTTACTTGAAGTATGCATCCCACTATTATTCTCACGTTACGCCCATTCACATGAATCATAACAGTCGGACACAACCCATTGTCATGCCATCGTACGCAGAACCCCAACGAGATGGCCTGTCATTGTATCCTCTTTCTCCAGGCATCAGATCCATTCACTTACCATAGACCATCAATAACCTACTTTCCTTCGCTATGTCCGCAAACTCTTTCACTTTACTTCTCGAACCAATTCAGTTCCTCCTCTACAGCCTTGCGATCCATGGAATATTCGTCTAATATCTACTTATCTCGTTTTTAGAGTTGATTTGACCGTTTCTAAGTTCCCTGCTACGTCGCCCTTGCCTCCCAGCCGCTCAGCCTCGCTACAGGCCGCAACTCGGTTTGATGATGCCAGTCTTCAGTTTTAGAATACTCGCAATGCATGACTGACGTCGAAACGAGCTCTCTGTCCCATATGGTCGGGCGTTTCCAAGACGTTGTAAGACTATACTATTGCTAACCACTGGCAGAATGGCATAAGAATTTTGTGTGAATGCGAGCCTTTTGAGGAGCTCAGGCCGCCAGAGAATCCTGAAACCTACTCTCAGAGTCCCACTAATCTTTGGTCGAGTTACGCACGATGAACGATTTCCATTGGCTGATTATGCTACTGAGGCACTACATACTCGTAAGTGATTACCTCGGGTGGTCCAGGGATTGTCGATCGCGGAGGGTGATCATGAGGTGTTAATTCGCGAAGTATCGATGATACACGAGATTCAGATTCAGAACCGAAAGTACTGCGGCGCCGGCAGCACTCACCGAGATAGCGCACTTATGAGAATGCATCCGACACTAGTGTTACGAGGTGACCTCGAGATGAGTTCAATTCGGTTCGAAAATGAGGCAGTGTAAGCCTGCTCTGACGCAGCATGTGACGCTACTTATGACGCAACACCTCTTCGATGACGCGTTGTGTTCATATCGCTGATTGGACAGTGTGGAACTGATCAGTGCAAATTATTTTTAGTCGTTATGGGGCAAGAACCGAGGGGCTATTTAAAGCAACAAGAACCGAGAGGAAGATATGAGGATCAGCCAAAGAAGTTCAACACTTAAATATTAAATATTAAATATTAACACCCAACGCCTACGATCACTGTATCACACCTATTAATGATGGCGGACCAAAATATCCTAAAAGTTCTCCGATTTTACCTGGCTATAAGATACACGGTACACGCATACCATACTAAAGCTTGTTCCTCCCTCACGTTTTTTCTCGGGCCCTCAACTAAAGCAAGCACGGCAATGACCATGGCCGATAAGTTCCTCGTCCTTATCTTCGGCGGCTGCGATTGTGTAAATAGAAAGAGCTTGGCAAGCCACTGAACTTTGACATCCAGAGTCCAGACACGACGGGAGTGATGACATCTAGTGTACGGTCAATTTGGAACTGTCAGGGTAAATTTACAATGCGCCCAGGGGCCTTCAAATTCACCACCGTGAATTACCGTAAATTAACACAAATTTCTATCCTCACATTTTGTATAAAAGGGACGCTATGTGACATGGCATTTATCCTTGGTCCCCCTACAACTCATAAGCTCTATTACTGATCTCAGAAATAAGAGGTCATGAATGCTCGCCCAAAGATGTTTTACCTCCCGGATATCATGACCAACTGGCCATGGCTTCGCGCAGTCAACCCTCGTTACGAAGCTGTGAAAATCGAAGCTGATGCTTGGTTTCGTAGTTTCAAAACTCTGGATCCAGAGTTGTTGAAAGCGTTCGACAAGTGTAATCCAGGTTGGAGCTATCCATGATGTTAGTAGTACCTCTGAAGATCGTTGACCCGTATCATTTTTGTAGCTTACGCGGTAGCACTGGCTCATCCCACTGCATCAGGAGGTTAGCATCCAACCCCTGGCGCGCACTACTGAGCCTTGACTTTATGCTTGCCGAGTAGAACATCTTCGAGTCGGTTGCGAAGTCCTGGATGTGCAACTGGTTGTAGACGACGTCACCGATAGAATCACTGCGGCAGATGCCAAAGGACTAGTAGACATCGTTATCGATGCCTTACACAATCCTCATAAGATACGACCAGAAGGTGAATACATTGTTGGAGAAATGATGCGACAGTAAGCACCCTTTGCCAGTGCTTGTTTGAACATGATTCTGAATTTTGTGTACTAGATGTTCGGCTCGTGCGATGCAGACCATAAGCACTACTTGTTATCCCCGCTTCATTGATAGCTTTACGACATGGCTTCGTGCAGTAGCTGTCGAAGCTATTGACCGCGAACAAGAACATTGTCTCGGTATCGATGACCATTTCAAGTACCGACGGGAGTCAGGTGGCATGTTACCTTGGTTCGCACTATGTGGAATGGAGATGAATCTCCCTGATGAAGTGTATCACCATCCCGCCATCGTGGATATGATTGAATGTGCTGCAGATTTGATTGAAGTCGATAATGTAAAGTCATACTAAAGACCTGGTTTCGAGTGTGCTGACGATTTTAATAGGACATGGTCTCGTACAACAAAGAACAATCGGACGGGACCGACTATAATTCGCTGATAACCGTTGTCATGGTAGAGTTTGGCCTCGACATAGGCAGTGCGATGGGTTGGGCAGCTGCCCATCACACCAAACTTAAGACAAGATTTATCAACGGTCTTGCGAAGATCCCTTCATGGGGTCCTTCCACCGACATCCTAGTCAAGGAGTACCTTGATGGACTAGGAATCTGTGTGCGAGCAAATTATTGTTGGAGTTCCGACAATCAAAGGTCCTGAAAATTTCCCAATGATATATTGAATTGTCATTTACGATGATTTATTTTGCAGGTATTTTGGCGCAATGACTGCGGAGATACAGGAAAGTAGGCTCGTCCCATTATGGCCAAAGGTCCACAGCAAAGCCAGCATCCCGGGTGGCGAAGGACCATACTGATTGCCGCTGCGGTCAGTAACGGGTTTTTTGTATTTGTTTCAATCCATTTTCCCTAGATCATCTGTTAGCTGCCATTCGTCTACATGTTCCTATGTTGTCTCATGCTGTTGCCTCTCCGAATCCTTTCGTTTGTTACGTCCTTCGTCTACTGTAAATAGCAGAAATGTATTACAACGGTACTCACGCACCAAGCCCCCCGCTAGAACGTATTTCTCTCCTGTTATAGAATTTATGTGTCTTTTAGCTTGAAGCGAACGTTGCATTATCAGCAAAAAAAACTGAGTGCTTCCTAGACCTGATCCCTGGATCCGATCAGGCTGAAGGTATCGTAACAGCAACCACACACAAGCCCCCGACCAGAGCGAAGTTCTCTCCTATTATCGAATTTATTTTTGAAACGAACGTTGACTGTGGATTATCGCTGCGCTCCTTATTCCACGGATTTCACCTACGCATTTGAAGGAGCTGGTTGATGGGGAATGGAAATTGGCGCTCTACAGGAACTTGCGTCATGACGGTGGGCCTGTGAATGAAAAGGAAAGTTTAATGATGAATATACGAGATGCACAGGTAGCACTGCCGTGCAGGAGCGCGTTACGATATATGCAAGGAAGACTGCTATGCTCGCATGCAAGAAACCCTCGCTCTTTATCTCTGCAAGCTCATCAGGACTGCCAGCGTAGGCGAACTGACCATCAGCTCAGTGCTGTCATCATTCAATTTGATATCAGCGTCAATGCACGGGGACAGCTCAACTTTGAACGCATCCAAAGAATATAGCCATTGGCTACTTAAACCACGACTTCGCTCGCAGAAACACAACCATGACTTCCACATCAACAAAACCGTTCGGTGTAGAAATCAATATGACCCTGACACCGGTAGAGATGGGAAGAGACTGGGTAATATATCCCTAGCCTACTTTCCAGACTACAGGCGAATGATCAGCGGATGAGCCTTCTTCATCTCGGGGTTCACCGTCGGCAGCGCAAGGACAGCTGGTAAGACATTAGGAAACCACGATGCCTTCAACAACCGCGATATATCGGGATTTGTGGATGCATCCAAAAGTGTGAATAAAGCGTCTTCATCTAAGTTGACGGGTCAAATATTGTCTCGAGTTCGAGCGCTTGTTGGGAGAGTGAAAACAACCTAAGAATGTGCAAATCCAGGAGTCTGCGAAGCAGAGCGAGAAGGAATGCATGCAATGGGATAGGACTGTGCATCGTCCTACGAAACGAGTTAATGGGTTCAGGTGAGGATTAACTTCGGAAGACGTACCCTGGGACCGGCAGCCTCTGAGACCTTTTTTGCAAAACGATGCGATTGATCTGATAAAATGACATCCACCACAGGATGGCTCAAAGATCGGAATGCAGTATCTCAATCAATACCCATTTCTTGTTCAGGTCGGAGCAAAGACGCGGAAATTCCGGGAGGTTCCAATCATCATTAGGTTGCTCGAGGCAGAACATAAGGCGGATGACGAGGGAAAGGGAGGACGCATTGGGAATGAGTGCCAGCAAATTCCTCGCAAGAGCAGTTGGATCGTTACTCTAAGCCCTTTGCAGCATCTAAGGCATGCACGAAGGGAACAGAGGAATGGGTGGGTAGAGATAGGAGAGAATAAGTAGTTAGCTTGGGTGGACTATCTGAAACAACTTCACCTTATATTGCCACGATACTGTTTCAAAATCTCCACATACAATTGTTGAACAAGTCGCGAACTGAGATTTCAGTTGAAAATACAAGATATAAATGGCATTCAAAGTGCCTCAGAGCTTGTGTTCACTCGGCACTGCATTTTCCACTATACCGTCTGCGTATGGAATGACGGTTGGCATGAGTGCATTAGTAGGTGCCTCGAGCTTTTGCTTCGCGTCCACCAGTGAGCCTACGAGGTAGGCATTGAAATATACATCAAGAAAGGGCGCTTCTGGTCCTGTGCGGCCGACTATATGGTTATCTCTATATCATGCAACATGATCAAAAATAGTCGCACTTACGCGATGATGTCTGGACACTGACCAAAGGGCTGCAAGTCTGGGAAATATCTTGATAGAATGTACTCTGCTTGGTGACGAGAATTCGATAGCAGAAAGCTTGGACGGGCCTGCAGGACTGAGCGTGCGCCATTGCAGTAGCATCATTTAAACCGAAGTGGGTCAAACTCCGACCCGTTGGCACATCAATGATTTCAGTGTTTGGATTAGAGGCCAAACAAACTACTGAGTCATTGGCCGCCGACACATGCACAACAATTAGACGATTCCCTACCGTGACAGTGGATATGATGTTTCGATCTCGAAGTTGTGCTATGCCTTTGTGACTAGGTACTCCAAAGATAAATATCAAACAGAGTTGGTGAGTGGTGTAAAATTGATTTCGGCCTATCAATATTAAAATCAACGGTTTGCCTCATAGACGGGCTGGTCACCAGTCTAGGTGCAGACAGCGTTATAGGGACAGTTTCATCTCTAACAATAGACGCACGCTGCATCAAGCACTTCAACAGTTCTGACTCCGTACGCCTCGTCTTCGTTTATCCGCACATCTCTTAATGTTTTACACTGTCACACCTTTGCTCATATTTAACCACCTTCTTCACTACTTGGTCTGATTGTTATCTCATTTTTCACGATTGAGAATAATTGCATAGAAAAATGTCACAAATGAAGGTATTAGATTCTGGGTACTGAATAGAACAAAGGCTGTAGTGCATATACGGAACGGTGGCACTACCAAATGATACTGATGTAGACTTGCTCGTTGTTTTAATCTATCAGATACTATATCACCACCTTGTGCCTGTTGCCACCCTTGTGCATGATCGATATTTCCCGTCCACTCATGTGAGCTCCGAGTCTTCGATGCTCCTGCCTTGTCTCTATGATGACGACATTAATGATGATTTGAATTAGTTCATACTTGAAATTCAAGATTTCTTCGTAGTGTGGCTCAAGAAGACAAAATTTGAGTATTCGATATCACAAGACCGTACTACATCATCACACCGCCGGATCGCGAGCTGTTTCACCACCATCGAGCAGCGTTTAATCTCCATCCAGAGCCAGCCGCGAAAGCCGTTTCCCGGACGTTCTCAATCATTTAGTAACTCACCGTTGCTAAGAGCTGTTAAGACGGGCAACGTTGAAGCCTCAACGAGCTTGGGAATGGGAGCTACCATCGGACCCCGAGTCCAGGCTGACACGCGCAAGCATCGCCGAAGATCACAGGCAACCTTATACTCGGAGGTCCGAAATACTCATCGGTGCAACGCCAGGGACTGCAATGCAAGTGACACAGCCTGCCTGTGAGTGAAATAAGGGCTGTTGGAAATACTGACTTGTGTAGATCGTGGTGATGGATCGCGCGGACGCCGGAATAAGGGATTAGACGCTCTGATGGGCCTATATCATATAACTGTACTCTTGCGCTCCTTCGAAAGTGGTTGTTCTGTGCCGGTTTATGATATACTTGGGAAGACCTCAAGAAGAATGCGGAGATGAAAGATTAAAACAACATCAGTTTCCTGCTCCGAATGTCCTTGTTTTGTTGTCCATCATATAGCATCGGTCCGAGTTACTGCCTTGAACTGCGCAGTACATAATTTTGCTCGCTCATATAAATTATTCGGTGAAAACCCTACAGGAGTGAATGTATACGATGCACGTACATCCATCGTAGATGCTATCTACCAAAATGGATTTCGTGTGGATTTAATTCAAGGCAAGGCCAAGACCAAGTCCTTCAATTTTTCGAAGTTGGGTGTGCCGTGTCCAGTGACTACAGGTATGATCAGCAGGTAGACACGTCATAACCCTGTTTGCCTTCATGAACTCACCAGGATCCCATCCAACAGTGGCCTGCATACAGGTATCACATCAGCAATGCGACCTGAAGGCGTGCAGACATGACCTACATTGAAGCCCGGAGTTCCACATCCTGGGTTATTCCCTTTGGTGATATCATTTAATGCAGTGTAGCCAGTGGAATATAACATTGGATTCAAAAAGCCAAGAGGAGTCTTTCCAGCATTGATGCGTGCGTCGTTCAGCATGGATACAAATGCGGCAAAGGCGGGCGAAGCACAGGATGTACCACCGATTGGACTCTCCTGACCTTGATAAATAATAGAGAAGTATTCTGCTTGTGCTGCCACGTCTGGATATGCCTAGAAAAACGGTTTCCATAAGATTTACGCAAGTTGAGGAGTCAACATACACGTCCGGTCCTAGAGATGATGAGTCAATTGTGCGTTGTGCGTTCGCCAGCTTGTAGTGACTTACGAATTATAGAGACCTTTGAACGTGCCGGGAGCGAGCATCGCTAAGTATTCAGAGACAGCAGCCTCCTGGTACGCAGGACGAGCAAACTTATACATTGTAATGTATGGGTCAGAAGGTTTTCATGTGGGGCAGAGATTACTTACATAGTTGCTGAATCCACCACCAGAAAAAGACACGGCAGTCTCTGGGATGTTGACAGTACCACCAACAGCAGTCACGCTGTAATCCAAATTGGTTGCTGTACTCCTTGATTAGAAATACCACTCACTATGGGCAGGAAGCGGGAAAAGCAGGCAAGAATTCCGTAACATTGCGCCCATCATTGGATTTACATAACTGAATGGCAGGGTCACCATTACCAGCGCCAACGCCACCATCACCAGAGGCAAACAACAAAGAAACACCACGAGCACCGAGAGACGCCATACCAGCGCAAACACGGTTCGCATAGGTGTACGGGACAGTTTGTTCATTATCACCGTAACTGGTAGAAATTGTCTGAGGAATATCATTCTGTGAAAGTAAGTGTTCAAGCCACTGAAGATCGTAGCCATTAATACATTAAACCCCAATCGTGATGGTCTGAACGCACGTATGTGTACGGCTCATTTTGATTATTTGGGTACGGCAGGTCGGGGATGTAAGGAGGCTGGCCACCAGTTGTGTAGAACGTTCCAGGAGTGGGCCATACGAGTCCGAAACCAAACTGAGTGTCAAGGTTGGCTTCCCCACCTGCCTCCGCATAGCTCTGGTTGTTCTTTCCGCCTGTGAAGCAAATGAACAATATGACTATCGACGAGGCCCGGACTGCAACACACCATGAATAGAAACCAAAGTATAATTCGAACCGTAAGCGGAAGGATTTTGGGCCTGGTAGAATTGCTGAAGGTCCTTATTATTGGCATACTGGTCAAGATAACCAGTGATACCCAGCTTGTTGCAGTTTGTGGCGGTTGTTTTATATTTTTCTGCATTATACAATTGTCTCAAGCAAGAAAGGGTGATCGTAGAGTTGCAGCTCGCATCGACGGGATTGCCTGCAGGCCCCGTGATCGTTTTGCCCGGCGGGGATGGCGCCGCAGGCTGTGCCTGGTTAGTCCAGTGCAGTGTGCTCTTGAATGCCTTGAAACGAGCGAACATGGTCGTAGGCTGAATAAGATCAACATGATGGTGCAAGATGTCAGGAAGACTGTAGCTCGTAGTCCTGACAATACTCTCTCCAGTCTCGGCGTGTTTATAAACATGGTAGGTCTAGAAATAAACTGTCAATGCATTGTAATCTCCGAAGGTGGCATTGCCTCGCTCACAGTATCCAGCATCTCTTCTGCGAGACCGATCGGGACACGAATAGTGACCCAATCGCGTGCGGATGAATGGATAACTTCTTCTTCTGCCAGACCGTGCAAGGTAAGCCATTCGCTGACGACGGCCAGACTCTCAGGGTGGGGGGCCATGAGTATCTCAGTCTCCTGCTTCGACAAGTACGCCCCATAACGTGCGTGGCTAGGATCGCTTATCTCCCAGAGGTGCTGCTCGAGTTCCGGGAACCTGGGCTGAGAGAGAGCGATCTTGAGCTCAAGCATGTGGTGCTTTGGTGCGGGAGCATGCTTGTACCACCCGCGGGGTGGGCCGTGGATACTCTCTTTCACCTTTTGCTGGCAGCCCTTGAAGGGTACGATGCTAGCGAGAGCAGCCGCGAAGGGAAACACAAGCAGAGTGACGAACTTCATCGTCAGGCTTCAGCGCACAACACAAACTGGGTTGGTACTCACGATAATTTCTCGAGTACTTACATATAGTGAGATCGACATTAACCAAGACAATGGAATACGTATCCAATGGTTTGATTGACGTGGCCGGCCGTGTGCCGACGTTCTTCTGTCACTAAGCTGGCAAATGACAAGGCTTCGTTATACGTGTCGATAGACCTGAAACATTATGTTTGGCCCATTAATTTGCTTCCACCGTGACAAGCCCGATTGCTCAGGCTAATCTCGGAGAAATACACCATTGCAACTTGCCTGTCATATGCATGAAGTAGAGCATACGGTTGGGGTAGAGCAAACCATGTGGTTAAAGTTGCCATGATCCTCCGCCAACACACAAGAGATTCCTAGTATATAAATATTCACTGCGTCACAACGAAGAACTCAAGGTGTTGTTGAGGAGTGCTCTTCGCGCATGAAACAGCCATAAACCTGTATCACTTGATGTGATTGACATTGTATGAGTACTGCGTGTGCTGATCGTGGGCCCGACGTTGTCCACACGAGAGGTTTGCGAGAGGTAAGATCATCTATATCATATATGGCCTTATTCATATACACGTAGATCACATGACTTTTCGTGATGTTCATGTAACTACCTTATGTAATTAAGAGTGTTTGTTCGCATCAGACAAGTTGTTCGCATGCTACAATGCATGCACTTTCTACTTATTGCACGAGAAAAGTAAGGTAAGGGACCAGGTGTTTTACTGATGGGCCTACAGTGACAGTGGCATCGAAAGCTCAGCGTCGCCAAAATCATCATGGGTCGCAAAAGGCCTCATGTTATACGCACTCGAATACTGCCCCAAACAATTTACTACATTGTTGGTGTGCCTTCATAGAAGCCTTGGTATCCTTTTCGATGCCTGAAGTCACATACCGATATCGAGTATGAGTAACTACTAGAACGGAGACAGCAGAAGCTCGAGCTCGCTTCATGGGACCATTGTGTGTCCCATGAGCAGATCCCCGGAGTCATTTGCCTCAGCGAGGAGTGCAACTGTGATGGTTTCCAAGAGGTTCGTTGTGGATTCTTCTCTCTTGCCGCTCCAGCGGCGGTGACATTGTCGATGCAAGTTATCGTGCACGGTGCACCATGATGTACTGGGTGTTCCTTCACAGCACAGTGTCGGTAAGTCATGATGTTTCACTCTCCGCGACAGAACAGCACACAAACCTTACTTGACAGTTTATCGCAGTTCATTTCATCCTGCATGCTCAAAAAAATGAACTGACAACATAAACCGTTGCTGAGTAGCGTATTGGAGTATGACGGATAGAAATAATTGAAATGAGTTTTGATTGACGAGCGCTTGATTTTATTCGTGACGAACAGCAGTGCGGACTGTGATTATATTAGAATATGCCGAGACGCCACAACGCAGCTCGCTGCTTGAAGCTTGAAAGCTTAAACGTTCAACGTTCAACGTCGACAGTCATGGATGATTAGTAGACAAAAACACTCATCCCCCGCTTGCATTGTCATAAGTTAATAACTTCAATATAACTGAAATGAAGAGCGCATCACTACGGCCGCATCATAATCATCAGTTCTCTGATGGCTATTGAATCGTGGGAAGTATAGCACGAACTTCTGTTTTTTTTTCTTCTGTTCTATTCCGCTTGTATTCCGCGCGCGGTATTTGAGCTCTACGTACGAATAATATTATAATAGTCGCCCAGTAACTATGGAGGAATATTTGACAGCTTGAGAATGTCTTATATAATTACAGGTACCGGTGGCGCCATTCGCAAGCCTGGTCATTAAGAAGTTCAATTCACAGGGCAGAACTCATCCCGCAAGCCTCTCGGCCGTTCTGACTGCAACTTGTCAGCTTGAAATGGGTACTATATCACAGCTATCTTATCACGGTCAATGGTCTGATGGGCCAGTTGTCCAATCAAATCAGTACCACGGGGAGACTGCATGTGGATCAAACAGATTTTCTCAGCAATGCATGCGGACTGAGGTCTGAGGATCCGAGTTGAGAGCATGATCATTTGGGGAATCGGCTAACGTCACACGGGATCGCCAAAATTATCGCATATAACAATCTGTCAGGTTCTCGTGAGTGCAAGCATTTCCCGTACTGACGATGAGACTCATCTCTCTGCTCGGGCTCCCCTTTGTGGCTGCTCTTGCTAGCGCAGCCGCAGTACCCTTCAAGGGCTGCCAGCACAAGGTGAAAGAGAGCATTCATGGTCCACCCCGCGGATGGTCCAAGCATACTTCTGCGCCCAAGCACCATATGCTTGAGCTTAAGATCGCTTTACCTCAGCCCAAGTTCCCGGAGCTCGAGCAGCACCTCTGGGAGGTGAGCGACCCTAGTCACTCACGTTATGGGGCGCACCTGTCGAAGGAGGAGACTGATGCTCTCATGGCTCCCCATCCTGAATCTTTGGACATTGTCAACGAATGGCTTGCTTCATACGGCCTAGCAGAAGAAAGTCTCCTTCGTTCATCTGCCAACGATTGGGTCACTATTCGTGTCCCAGTCAGCCTTGCCGAACAAATGCTGGATACCGTAAGCAAAATAATATCGTCTCCAGAGATTACAGTCCATTGACTCCTGGATGTCTAGACTTATTCTGTTTATAAGCACGCTGAGACCGGAGAGAGCATTGTCCGCACCACGAGCTACAGTCTCCCAGAGATCTTGCATGATCATGTTGATCTTATACAGCCAACGACCATGTTCGCTCGCTTCAAGGCGTTCAAGAGCACGCTGCACTGGACTAACCAGGCTCAAGCTCCAGTCTTGAGCACATCTAGTGGAACGATCACAGGACCTGCAGGCAATCAGGTTGATGCAAGTTGCAACAGCTCGATCACGATTTCATGCTTAAAGCAGTTGTATAATTCAGTAGCTTACAACACGTCTGCTACAAACGGCAACAAGATGGGTCTCACTGCTTACCTGGACCAGTATGCCAACAACATGGACCTCCAACAATTCTTCCAGCTTGAAAACCCATCTGCTTACGGTTCAAACTACACTTTCGTTTCCGTTAACGGTACTATGCTGCACTCAAAGCTCGGTAGCTATGTTACTGATTTGTTCCACAGGTGGATTGAACAATCAGTCCTATGCGGCAGCAGGCGTTGAAGCTAACCTTGACACTCAATTTGGCTTTGGACTCACATGGCCCACTCCTGGAACGTTTTACTCGACTGCTGGCGAGCCCCCTTTTGACCCTGATTACTTCACGCCGACTGATACGAATGAGCCATACTCATACGTAAGCTTGGGCCACTATAATCCAACTTCTAATGTGCTGATGTCTATGACCCCAGTGGCTCGACTACGTTCTTTCGCAGCCTTCACTTCCTCAAACAATCTCTACCAGTTATGGTGATGATGAGCAAACTGTCCCATTCACCTATGCAGACCGTGTCTGCGCTGGCATGGCAGCTCTCGGTGCTCGTGGAGTTTCTATCTTGTTCTCCTCTGGTGATTCTGGTGTTGGTGATGGCGATCCCAATCCTGCCACACAGATGTGCCACTCCAATGACGGGCTCAACGTCACGAAATTCTTGCCCGCTTTTCCCGCTTCCTGTCCATAGTGAGTGATCTTGGTGATCGAGGAGAGGAGTATAACAACTAAAGATCGAATAAAGTGTGACAGCCGTGGGCGCCACTGTCAATATCCCAGAGACTGCTGTATCCTTTTCCGGTGGTGGCTTCAGTAACTATGTGAGGAATTTGACGGCTATGCTTGACACCTACTGGAATGCTAACACGCTCCCACAGTTTGTTCGTCCAGCCTACCAAGAAGTTGCTGTCTTAGAGTACCTAACAAAACTCGCTCCTGGTACCTACGAGGGTCTCTACGCTCCGTAAGTGCATTGAGCTACTCCTATTGGTGTACATTAATCGAGTCGTTTATCTGCAGCGAAGGGCGCGTAAGTGACCTCTTCAGCGTGTGAGGATATGAAGGCTAACATCCATACAGGCATATCCCGATGTGTCAGCCCAGGGGGTTAACTTCAGTGTTGTCTACCAGGGCCAGACGATACCCGTTGACGGCACATCCTGTTCTTCACCCACATTTGCCTCGTTCGTATCCATGCTGAATGACGCACGCCTTACTGCCTTCAAATCCCCTCTCGGCTTCCTCAACCCTTTCTTGTACTCCGCTGGGTACTCCGCGCTAAATGATATCACCATGGGCCACAACCCAGGATGTGGAACTGAGGGCTTTAATGTATGTCATATCTGCATACTCTCAAGTCGTGACACTGATCTGATGCCCGTGCGCAGGCCACGACTGGCTGGGATCCTGGTGAGTGCATGTATTTGGCAAGTGATTTCCTATGTCGCTGACAATACCTGCAGTTTCAGGCTTTGGGACACCCAATTTCGAGAAATTGTTGGCACTGGTCTTGAGCCTGCCCTAAATATAGTAGATGAATAAATCATCTATGTATGATGTATTTACTATCTATGCTGTGTACATCATGAATAAGTTAAGGTTACAACGGTACCATTACTAGAGAGGCCCTCCGCTGAAGCCAATGACTAAAGGTAATTACAGGAAAGTGCACGTAGTGTTTCCTCTACAATCGTGGGCCGCAGCTTGTAAGCAATTAAACGTTGCTTCACACAGTGTGGACGTCAGTGAGAAATCGTGCATCTACCATCATGTCAATGATTGCAAAGTCCATTAGAATTCAACCTCGTGCTCGATTGACATGAACAAATTCAGGCATATGCAGAGCACCTAGAAATGGTGTTTCATACAAGTAGAACAAAATATTCTTACATGTTGCAGTACACGAGTGGTTCAATCCATCATACGCGGCATCTGTCCTCTGCTCGAGTCTCACAGATGTTAGTTTCCCGTCACATCGTGTTGCATCATTCTCTCCAACATTCACCACATCACAGGAAGGTAACCCAAGCAAAAGCCGACGATACCGCTCGCGATGTCAACATTACGGCCGCTATCCAGGCTGTCAGAAAAAAGGGGGCTCAAAACCGATTGGCAGCAGCTGGCCGGTTTAACGTCCCATACCATACCCTTCGTCGGCGTGCGCAGAACCTCGCACGACCTCATTTGAAGCAAATTTGTCACGGCTACTTACCGAAGAGCAGGACAAAACTGTGTGGCACCGGGCCACCATGACAGGGACACCCACCGCAACCTTCGTGCAAACCCTCATTTGCACCAGTAAGTCGCGGTAATACGAATTTCCGAGTCGGGGACACCTAGTGCAGACTATGCAGGGCATCAATTCTATTCAGCGGCCTATCAGCGACACAAGTATGATCAGTATGATTGCAGTAATTGTCATCGTCAGTATTATTGAACTGAGATACTCAATATACTGCTATATTCAGCGTTTTCGAGCCTTTCGCGATGCGCGCACTTTGAGTTCGACGGTTGCAGAGAGTGAAGGTCGACTATGCTGCTACTATGTTGAGGCGTGACAGGACATGACCGAATTGATCCGGTGGGTAGACCCTGGGTTTTATCGGGTTTGCTCCGACACCACACTACATCATCCTAAAAATCAGTAAAATCGGATCCATGTAGAGGAGATGCGAATCTATGATGGGTCAAGAAAGAATATGTGATATCATCGAAGAGCTACAAAAGATTCGTTGAAAATGTTGCATATTATCGTAATAGGCCTTCCCGACACAGTGGGGATTGGGTTTAGTAGATGCCGGGTATGATGCGGTACCTAACCGCATTGGCCCACCTCTGCCATTCGTCTCCAAACATTGACTTCACGACCTCCTCCTCTTGATTGATCCTGCGCACGAGGCTTGTGACAGTAATCGTTCTCTCCAACAACCATGCTAGGAGAACCAGTTTCACTCCAGGGAGATCTAAGACCCCTGATTGTCTAACCCACGAAGCCGCAGATCCGTGCAAGATCGTTACACCGATATACTGCAGAATAGCAGCTGCGTAGGAGGGATGGCGTACGATCGAATATGGTCCACTCGTGACAAGCTGGTGACCCTTGCGGGCGGTAAGCTCGAATGTGAAGAAATGACCAAGGGTCCGAAAACACGACCAGCGGAGGTATCCCGCTGAGGCAACAAGTGCGGTGCCGAGAATGAAAGGACGAGTGATTGGCACGTCCTGGATCCTTGGAAGAAATGGACCGATTGTGCTTTGCACCACGCTGGGAAGTGTTTTGAGGTCCATCGTACGAGATACGATGAGAGCTATTTCTGCCAAAGAAATACCCCAGTAAACTATCTGGGCGTAGTTCCATCAAAGAGGATTGTGGACAATCGTAAACAGGTACCTTTGATATCGGGAGCCCGTATCTAACGTGCTGGATGATAACCCACTCATTAAAGGTATCATGAACAACTTCGCTCTTCGATGGAGCGTGCGGGGGAGTGAGCGCTACGTGCACAGCGACAGCAGACGAAAGAATGAGTGGGATTTTGAGGAGGGACATTTTCATAAAGAACCCTTGACCATTTGGTTGCTTTTATAGAATCCAATCGCCGAGTACGGCAGGGCGGGTAATTCAAAAAGTTACGTGTATGCGTTGTCACTGACCGGTCTTATGGATGCTCAATTCAATTGTTGTCGCAAACACACGCTAAGCGTCACCAAACCTAAAGGGACTTACGGCGCGCAGCGCCAACACTTTCAGTCTTAAAACACATCCTAAACCTCAGCCAAACCTCAGCAATGCTCAATCCTTGTGGTTCATGGCATGTTCATGTTCTTAACCCTTAGCAGACTTAATCCTTAACATTCCTAAACCTTTTCTGACCCTCTCCATAGAGTATGTCCAGTGCTATGTAGTATGTTTATGAATATAATGCACCTCTCACTCGAAAAATGGAATTGATTGATTATATATTTCCTACATAAAAAGGTTTAGATGCGGGTTGCGGGTTAGACCTACGGCGGGCCAGGAACCACGAGGATTAGGAGCACTGCTGAGGTCTAGGATGTGGTGTAAGACTGAAAGTGTTGGCGCTGCGCGCCGTAAGTCCCTTTTAATAGGACAGGTTTGGTGACGGTTAGCGTGTGTTTGGCTTGCAAACGACAACGACATTTTGGAATTGAGCATCCCCCGAGGCAGCACGGAGGTTCCAATCAGATTGGAGCGGTTATACTATATTTACACCAGGTGACAATTGAGTGACAACTTTGGTTCTTCCACGCGAGTCTGATTGGTCGATATGTTTTAAGTTTTGTCGCGCGGGCCGATGGGTAGTGAAACGATAAGAATGGTGAACAACGAAATGACGTAGAGGGATGTATCCGCGTTGGCCTGGCGCAGCTGGCAATGTGCCTGGCAGACGGAAGCTGGTGCCAGCCTGATGATGGTCGCTACCTCGCCCGGAGGCTCTACCCCCACCGACTAAGCCATGCAAAAATGGTAGCAAACACCCACCTGCACCACCCCCATTGGAGGGATATACGATCCTTACACGAGTCTGACTCGGATATGGGGCTCTTGGCTGGCTAATTATGGCCAGCGAGAATCTTGGTATCAAATCGAAGATTCTTGCATGGCGCAGTGTTTGACGCAACGTCCTTGCTCATAGTTAACCCTAAACTGTTCACATGAGTGCAATATGAAAACGTAGATTGATGCAAACAGCCTTACTCGCTTCCGGAAGATAGTGCTAGCAAATGTAGCTATTGACGTCTGATCCTCTTGGGATGTATATGGACGTCTAAACTCATACATTAGCCGGCGTCCTTCCTAAGGGATCAATTACACAATTGACAGGAAGCAGAGAGGGATACGGTGATCACAGTTGAAGACACCGAGTTAGTGTCCCGTATCGAAAACCACGGTGAATTATATGCTGAGAAAATCAGATGGAAAATCTCGCGCAGATCCTGGCCAAAATGCATTGCAAGTCATTGTCGTCATCCTAAAGTGCAGGTAAAAAGCGTCGGGATCTCCAATATCCTGGTCTACCCCCCTCCGATAGTTCTGAAGGGATTCGCTAAAAGGCTCCGTTGATGCGGGTAGCCCTCAAAGGAATGAGACAAACGTTGCCAATCTTGGACGTTTGCTGACGAGGAACAAATTAATTCCGGTACACGAATCATCCGAGGGGGGTACGTAGCATGGATATGCATGTGAAAGTGATAAAACAAGGTCTCTGTTGCTCACAACATGTAAGAAGTTCGTCGGGACGTGTACGCCTTCAAGCCCAGAATTGAACGTGAGACTCGGATGCACGAGATGTCGGACAGGTGGCAGTGAAACACAGAAAGCCAATAACGTCTCCAGGTATCCCTACAACACAGTGAGAACACGGATTGAACTCCGAGTTGCGCCTGCGCTGTCTGCCAGCTGTGAAATCTCCCATTACTAAGGACCTCGAAGTTGTCGAGCTTCATGAATTTGGTAAGTGGGAACGCACCAAAGCTCGACGGGTTCGAAGTCACCGCCGTGTATTTTGATATCCACCAATTCTCATATGCCTTCGCCACTGCGGCGGGCAAGGACATGCATGCCTTGTTTATGGTGAGCGAGCTGCACGACATCAATGCCACGCGTAAATAGAGATTCCCTTGATCTTGCTCGCGGCGACGTCGACAGCCTTCTCGAATCTCGACATCGTGGCTCTCTAAAATTGTCACGCAAGAGATCCAGGAGATCAGTCGCCGTCACTTGGGAAGGCGTTCGGAAGGAACCGGTTATTCGTCTTGCCCGTTCCAGAACTCCTACCCGGATCAGCGGGCGTGTAAGAGAGCCCCCGGCCACAACAGACCAAACAAAACCAAGCGCAGTGGCCCCGGGTATATTGTCGGAGAAACTTCGCTTGGTTTTGTTTTGTTTGTGGCGATGCCATCTTGGCTTGTATGTCTGCTCCGAGAGGCCTGCGTGCGCATCGATATATATGTTCAACCTCTAGTACTTGCAGCTCCTTCTTTCTCGCCACTAGTGACTCCCGGTTATTCACTCATCAATCATGCTTACGCATTCTTGGATGTCAAACGTTAAGTATTGAGCCCTCAGCACTTTTACTTATAACTGTAGTCAATTCTAGAAGTTGCGACAAGTTTAGCTTTAGGCTGCCGCCTGGGAGCAGAGCTGTGACATGATGCATGATGCATGACGCGGACAACCCGCCAATCCTTCCTACATATGAAATTTCCATGTGTCCATCATGATCCAAGCCTCCGTCTTGTCGGGCGAAGGTTCATCGCTCTTTGTTGCTTCCTCGTGGTGGCAATATTATCTTCTTTACCCACTCTCCTGCGGAAGTGTTACTTCTATTTGATGGCTGAGTAAAACCATTGCAAATATATCCCTTCCAGATAGTGGCCCTAGGCTAGGCTTCCAGATCCTCGTACGAATGGTCTGATTTTAGTAAGTACTGATTTCTAATTGGTGCACAAGTTTGACCGTCATCACTGACGAGTATCCCTTTTTGTCCTCTCCAACATTTTTGCTGTGTTACCGCCCGTATCGATTCGAAACAATGACCAAAGGAACATCTCCTTACAAGTGAGGATTCTGTAACGACGCATAAGACACGATACGGTGATAAGTGCAGCGACAAAAGTGACACTACCAGTTGTATACGTCCGAAAGACCATCCGACTCGACATGTTCTTAAAAAGCAGATGTGGACATTGGTTCCAACTTTAACTTTAACTTTGACTCCTCGGTCAGGATTCAGGAGGATAATTCACACATAATACGCTGGGCGGATTCCGAGCCCACACAAGCAATAGTTGCATTTCAGATACACAATCCGAATAGCGAGCTCCGCAGACTATTAAAATGTCAAAACGTTTTCAAAAATTCCAGTCAGTACTGCTGACTTAATTCAGGGCTCCATCCTTCGCACGCGGATACTATCCAGTTATTCAGCATCAGGTCCCTCGCTTACTGATTTTTTTGATCATCAGATGAGATCACTCGGCCAACCGTTGTATGTTTTTGGATGCTTTCAAGAGGGTTGTTGTTTGTCGGCCCACCTCTTTTTAAATACTCACGTATGATTGACCCATGGCTGCCAGTTGCTGTACTACATAATATGGTGAATCGTTGGTCGCATCTAAATATCTGTGACTTGTCGCGCAGTTTCAGTCAAGTAACATAGCCTTGGGCGATGTTGCTTGAGAGTACAACTTCAAACCATTTGTATTTTGATTCTAAGTCACTTGGTACTAATCATACACGAAGTACTAAGGTACAAGACTTTCGGGCCTATTGAAATTAAACAGACGCTTGATGTGGTCACACTCAACACACGGCTTCAGTACACGCCAGGTATAACCCGATACTTCACATTTCTTGCCCACGCTTCCCATTCTTCTCCGAAGGCAGAATGCATCATCCTATCTTCTCTCTTCATTCTTGAAAATAATGCGAAATTCACCGCTGTACAAAAAATGGAAGTTCCAGCGACGACCGGTAACACTCCAGGGATCCTTGCTGATACACCAGAAGCCCTTAACCATGAGTTGTGAGAGCCATGCAGAATGATGATTCCAAGGCACAACATCATCATTCCTGTGTAAGAAGGGTGCCGAACGATTGCGTAAGGACCGGTGGTGATAAGTCGATGGTCTTGGCGTACGCTGAGCAGAAACGTGAAATAGCGACCGAGGGTTCGGTAGCAGAGCCAGCGGATGAATCCACCGCTAGTCACGAGGCCAGAGCCCACAAGAAAAGAAGGAGTAATAGGGACATCTGTGAGAGTGCTCAGAGCTTCGGATGCCGTTCGCAAAACTGATGGTATTTTTGAGGAATCGACGTGACGAGCTATGATGGCAGTTATTTCAGCCACTGCCCCCGCCCAGTACAACCCCTGAGCGAACCTTGTTCAGTGAAAATCTCCTAAAAATACGCAAAATTCGGACGAACAGCTATCATTTGCGAAGGATATCTCATTTTACGAAAATAAGATGGGAGACGAATCAGGGTCCGACCATTATGATATAATTCATTGTCGGATGCAGAATGAGGAGGAGTGACTGCTACCTGGACTGCGATAGCTGATGAGAGAACTAGAGGTATTTTGAGGAGTGACATGTTTTAGTTGAATGGATAATTTCTGGCATGAGTTACTGCAGGTCTTTGATATAAAGCTTTAGTACTTTGGTAGTGACACCAACACCGTATGTATGATTTGATCGGGATTGCACGGATGTACGATATTAATAGAGTGCTACGTAGCATTCTAGAGCCGTGACGTAGAAGCACTTTGCCACGAGGTGCCACATCGAAGATCTGATCCCGGCCCCAAGTTTTTGGGGCTGCCAGGTACATACATCATGCTGGATCTTTGGGGATCTTTATTCATGGTTGGATTTGCCGTTATGCCGTAGAAAATTTTCACAGTCCGCCACATTTATTGTTGTATATCCTAGTACATGCAAAACACGCGAGGCCCGCGTTGAATATCAACACTGCCGTTGGACAGATATGAGACTAACACCGACTGGACAATGGATAGCATGAAGTGGTGCTGCAGTTGAGCTCTCTTTTGCCCACACAGCGAGCATGGCCTACATTGGTGACGTTATATTATTGTTAGAAAATAAGAAATACAGCGGACTATGAAAAATGTATTCGGCATGACGGCAAATCGAC